GATCATCCTGAACCCTCCAGGTCAGATCCGTGCTGGTATGCACCTGTGCTGGATTGTCACACAGCTTACAATGCTTGCAGTTTTGCTTAGCTTAAGGAGAAGGTTGATCACCAGTTTGGTAAGAAGCTAGAAAATGGCCCCAAATTCTTGAAGTCTGGTGATGCTGCCATTGTTGACATGGTTCCTAGCAAGCCTATGTGTGTTGAGAGCATCTCAGACTACCCTCCTTTGGGTCAGTTTGCTGTTCGTGACATGAGACAGACTGTTGCTGTGGGTGTCATCAAGGCAGTGGACAAAAAGGCTGCTGGAGCTGGCAAAGTCACCAAGTCTGCTCAGAAGGCTAAATGAATATTACCTTTAACACCTGCCACTCCAGTCTTAATCAGTGGTGGAAGAACGATATAAGAACTGTTTGTCTCAATTGGCGATTTAAGTTTAATAGTAAAATACTGGCTAATGATAGCAATGCAAGGTAAAACCTTCAGAAGGAAAGGAATGTTATGTGGACCATTTGTTTCTTTTTTGTGTGGCAGGTTTAAGTTATTAGTTTTTAAAATCAGTACTTTTTAAATGGAAACAACTTGACCAAAAATTTGTCACAGAATTTTGAGACCCATTAAAACAAAGTTTAATGAGGAAAAAAATTTTATAAGGTGTGGGGGACAGCATCTGACCTCCTCCAGCTTCTCAAGGAAAAAGGAGTATCAAACTCAATTATCAGCCCAAGGCCAACTGCTGTGAGGTGGAGGTCAGACATGTGTCTAGGCTACACCCTTCTTTATGCGATTCTGACACCAACCATCCCTCCCAGGGTGCTCGCTGTTCTAATGGGTTCCATACCTGTTGCAATGGCCACACACAACCCACAGACTATCCTCAGGATTATGGGGTTTACTAGGGAAGTTAACCGAAGATCAGAAACACAGCAGTTTTCTAGTCAGGAGCACCTGTTCTTAGCTGTACCTCTCACACACCTTTTCAGCCCCTTGGTCTCTTCCCTGCTCAGGCAAGTGTTTCAAGTTCCTTTAGTTCCTGATAAATGCCTAAAGTTCTGCAAGCCAGCCTCCCGCCCAAAGGCACTCTGAGGGTCCAGAAATCCGCAGCTCTGTCTCGCAATGCTGCCACCTCTGCTGCCATTGCTTCTCCACACAGTGACCTCATCCTCCAAAACACACACTCTACTTACGGTTCTTCTTTCTCAATGGTCTTAGGATCATCTGTCTCTGCTTCGGGGGCAGCTCCTTTTAAACCTAGCAGCATGGCAGAACTAACCAATCTCCACATTAGAGTTCCATGCACCCTATTTGCATGGTCCCACTTGGTATTTGATGTGACACTGAAGAGTAAACACTGGACTGCTAATCAGCAGCTGCTGTTCAAACTCACCAGCTGCTCCTTGGAGACCCTATACAGGGTCACTGTGAGTTGGAACCAACTTGACGACACATAACAACAACAACATGGAGACTGTGGTCGAAGCAATCTTTGCTTCCTTCTTTGGATCATACAGAGACTCCGTGAGAGGTTGAAATCAGTCTTGCCCATGGTTTCTCTGATTTTCCATGGTACCTCACCAATACTAATGGCCATTAAGTAAATTCTGGTTGAGTGACTTTACTGAAGTGTTTAGAGATGGGCTGTGGTAATTGAGGCAGAAAGTGGCTAACTTTAATTTTCTCATCTATAAAATGGAGATATCCTGGACCAGATAGTGACTGCCCTTAAATGACATGATTTCGTTAAAGTGTGTGTTAGCTTGAAAAGCATGTGGTTATTTTATTTTTTTCAGTCATTTATTCATCACACACGGGGTGACTGTGATTTGGAATCTAGTTGACGGCAACTGGTTTTACTCATCAATATGTGATGAAACTCCCACTCTACGCCTTGAAGTGAACGCCTCACAGTCGGTGACTGTGTTTTGTTCTTCTTATGTCTCTAGTGTTTAGCATAGAGACTCAGTACTCAGTACATGTTTGGGTATGACTAAACAAATGAAGGCTCACATAGGTGTTAGCAGTGGGTGAGTGGCCTTCCCTAGGAGTGAAGGGGTAGGGGAGAGGGCAAGGGACAGTGGTAGTGGGACTTGGACTGTTTGTCTATATTTAGCTTTGGTTCCCATTCAGCTGTGATTCGGTGGAGGAAGGAATCTATAGCACTCTCCAAGTTTTGCCACGTTTTGTTTTTCTTTTCTACTTTAATGTTATTTATTATCCTCTCCTGATAGTTAAATGTGTATGAGAGGACTTCAAAAAGCCTCTGTGGGGGGAGGGGAAACAATTAAAAGATAAAAAATTTTAAATATAAACTTTATTTCTTTTTTTATGAGAATAAGTAGGTTTTATTGGCCACAAATGCATTAAAGGTTAGCGGTGTGGGAGAGGTCTCTAAAAACCTGAAGTGATTTTAGGTTCCATTTCTAGGACAAAGAAGTAACCATTCCCCTTGTATTTGGACGTTTCAATGAGTTGCCACTAAAAGGAGTCATTTAGAGGCGAGGCATAGTTCTACATGTTTCTATACAGGGTCCATGAATGGGTCTCCAGGGGTTTTGTAAACCCTCTAATGTGATACACAAGATGTTCTGTTCTCTATAAATTCAAATTTAAAAAATCAGTACTTTAGGCCAGTGATTGTCAGTGGGATTATTACCAACCCCCAGAAGGCAATGAATTTCCACCCAAAGAAATGTCCCAGGTCCCTCAGAATACTTTCAGATGTTCCATCAGACACTTGTGCAGATGAAAAAGACTTTGATAGTGAGCTCTAAGTCCATTTATATACAAATGCAATTTATTTTAACCTAGTTTTAATAGCATTGATTTTTTTTTTTTTTTCAGTTTTTTATTGTGAATTGAGTGAAGGTTTACAGGGCATATCATCATAAGTTTTGTTTCTTAATGTAAGCTCTGTGAAGTTCAAGAGATTTCTGTAAGCAGTAACAGTACACCATGCTGGTACTACATCCCTAAAGAACTGAGGTTCTTGGGAATGTAACCGTACCAATAGAGTTTGTTGGGTTTTTAAATTACTTATTGAAGAAAAATTAGTACTCTTTGAAGATTTCTTTTTAATATTGGGAACCAAAACAAGTCAGAAGGAGCCAAATGGTTTCCCATTAAAACTCTCACAAAATTACCATTGTTTAATGAGAGGAATAAGCAGGAGCCTGGTGGACAAGGGCTATGTGGGGAAGCTGTCCTGGGCATTTTTCTGCTAAAGCCTTGGCTAACTTTCTCAAAACCTCATGATAAGCAGATGTTATCATTCTCTGGCACTCCAGAAATTCAACTAGCAAAATGCTCTGAGCATCCCCAAAATTTGTAGCAATGACCTTTGCTCTTTGCCAGTCTGCTTTTGTTTGACTGGACCTCTTACACTCTTGGTAGGCACTGCTGTGATTGTGCTTTGTCTTCAGGATTGAACTGGGAAAGCCATTTTTTTGTCTCTTGTTACAATTCTTCCAAGAAATGCTTCATGATCTTGATCCCATTTGTTTGAAGTTTCCAGTGAAAGCTTTGCTCTTGTCTACAGCTATTCTGACAACCACTGAAACAAAACAGTTTTGACACTCATCAAGCAGAAAGTTTGCTCGACTTTAATTTTTCAGTCAGAAGTTATGTAAATGGATCCAACTGAGATATTTATGGTGTTGGCTAATTTTTTCTGCTGGTAGTCACTGGTCTTCTTCAATTAACAGCAGGACAGGGGCCTGTTTTAACTTTTCCCTTGCAGGTTGATGTGACTGGTTTGCCGCTGCAGGCTTCATCTTCAACATTGTCTTGTCCCATCTTAAAATGCGCTTTTCCATTTGTAAACTGCTCATTTCCTCAGGGCATTGTCCCCATAAACTTTTCATAAAGAATCAATGATTTCACCATTATTCCACCCAAGCATCATCATAAATTGATGTTTGTTTTCGCTTCAATTTTAGCAGAATTCATGTTGCTCTTAGCAGGGGATCTTTTCAAACTGTTTTCTTTCTTGTGCATCAGACTAGATCTTATTCTGACATCTTATAACAAGTTAGTGCAAGTTTATTTTGGTGCAAAATTTTTTAAGATCCATGCATGATTTTTTTCGTAATAAACATTTCTCACAAACTTTTTGTAGTCCCTTTGTATGAGACGTGTTTCAAAAAACAAAAAGAATTGACCAGTGTTTCTGACCTTTTCTCCCCATGCAAATACTTCCCCTTAGTAATAGCCCCTTGGAGGAAGCCCCCTAAAAAACATTCTGGTTAGCTCTCTACCTTTTAACTACAAAAGATGATTAACAACACATTCTGTCCCCTCCTGGGTTCCATGGAAGTCAGGGCGCTTCCAAAGAATGCTGGCTAATTATATCCTGAGTCTGAACAAAATCACACAAGGGGAGCAAGGCAGTGGCATATAAATGAAGCTGGGATGGGAATAGGCACCCGTTGGCTTTTAGCATTTGGTGAAGTGACATTTGAGGATTTCTGCTTTCTCAGCTCCTGTCTCTCGCTGATTTGAGTGAAACTAGCAGCCGCCTGCCCTCGCTTGCTTACTAACCATGTGTGAGGCTGTGGCGCTGTGCTAGATCCAAAGATCTTGCTGCCAGTGGAGTGATAGGAAGGAGGTGGAACAAAGGGAAACAGGCCTGGAGGCTGACTGCTGGTGAGAGACCCAGCCGTGGGAGTTGCAGAAACTGCTGGCCAAGTAGCACTGAGTTGATGGCTGAGTCCCCACCCCATCTCTGTCAGCTCTGCTGCTTTCCCTTCACAGGACTCTTCCCCTCTTTCTCCCCCAACCCCTTTACTCTCCGCCCTTACCACCCTTCAAGGACACATTTTTACTCTTTATTTAAACGCAAAACATTAGTCCAAGCTAATCGGTACAAAGACCCAACCATTGCAAAAGTAATTCATTCTTTTTTCCTTTAACCAGACCAGCATGTTGGCATTATTGCCTCTGGAGAAAGGGGCTTCCTTGCTTGGGGTTTGGGGAAAACTGACTCCAGTTAGTCTCTGCCCACAGACTGATGCTGAGAAGCACTCACAGGTGGAGAGGAACTCCCTGTGGTCTGGTGATGACATCAAGAAATCAGATGGTGGGTCAGACAGCGGCATAAAGATGGAGCCAGGTTCCAAGTGGAGGCGGAATCCCTCTGACGTGTCTGATGAATCTGACAAAAGCACGTCGGGCAGGAAGAACACTGTCATCTCCCAGACAGGCTCATGGCGGCGGGGCATGACAGCTCAGGTGGGCATCACCATGCCGAGGACGAAGCCAGCTGCCCCAGCAGGCTCCTTGAAGACCCCGGGAACTGGTGAGTTACAGGAAGGGGCTTCTGTAGTCACAGAAAACCAAAACAGGTTTCTTAATTAGGTTCACATACATGCTCTAGACATTTCATTTTCATAAGATCTAGACAGTTAGCTTTCGTAACAGTTAATTTCCTATTGGAAATTTCCTATTGGAAATTGGGAGGCACATAAACCTCAGAAGCTCTGGCCATTTCTTGAGGCATGTTGATTTGGTTCCAGTGCAGGTTGTGTAAGAGAATATGTCTGAAAACTGTTGGTACATGGCACTGATGTTGTCCATGACTTAGGGGATGTGTGCAAACAAAGATAGTATTTTTTTTTTTCAAGAAGACAAAAGTGCCCCCTGGAAATGTTAAGGATGAGCTTTTAGTAGACAGAAAGGGGAGCGGGGGAGCACAGTCTTTCCCAGACAGCCATTGATTATCTGGCTTTGCTTTATCCTGGGTGAATTTTGCCTGCTTTGCAAATGAGTAAGATCACTGACATCTGCTAATAGGCTCACAGTTGCGGTAACAGACATATCTTCATAAAAATCTCTTTCCTCGGCTTCCCAAGGGTACCGCTCTCCCCAAAGGAAAATTGAACCAGTTCTTGGGTGAAGGGGAGAGCATCTTTTTAATCAGATGTGAGGAGATGCATTCTTGACTGCTTGGCTTACCTTGTTGATTTCTCTTTTAGGAAAAACAGATGATGCAAAAGTGTCTGAGAAAGGAAGGCTTTCTCCCAAAGCCTCACAGGTGAAGCGCTCCCCATCTGACGCAGGTCGTAGCAGTGGTGATGAATCCAAAAAGCCTCTCCCCAGCAACTCCAGGACATCCACTGCCAATACCAACAGCTTCGGGTTCAAGAAGCAGGGCGGCTCAGCTGCTGGTCTGGCCATGATCACAACCAGCGGGGCCACTGTCACTAGCAGGTCAGCTACGCTGGGCAAGATCCCAAAGTCGTCTGCACTTGTGGGTCGGTCTACTGGTCGGAAGACGAGCGTGGACGGGGCTCAGAATCAGGACGATGGGTACCTGTCTCTCAGCTCTCGGACAAACTTGCAGTATAGAAGTTTGCCGCGGCCCAGTAAATCCAACAGTCGGAATGGAGCTGGGAACAGGTCTAGTACCAGCAGCATAGATTCCAACATCAGCACTAAGTCAGCAGGTCTACCAGTACCCAAGCTAAGGGAGCCTTCCAAAACAGCTCTGGGCAGCTCTCTGCCAGGTCTGGTCAACCAGACTGATAAGGAGAAAGGCATCTCATCAGACAATGAAAGCGTGGCGTCCTGTAATTCAGTGAAAGTGAACCCGGCAGCCCAGCCTGTGTCCAGTGCAGCTCAGGCCTCTCTCCAGCCTGGGGCTAAGTACCCAGATGTGGCCTCTCCCACGCTCCGCAGGTAACTGGGTCCATGGGACTGAGTAGAACTGGGATACATCCAATGGCACTCTGGATTATTGATTCATTCCTGTTCTTAGTTAAAGCAGCTTCTGGTTTTCTCCACTTTATTCTGGTCCGGTCTTCCATGCAGTTTTGCAGTTGACTAGTTAGCATAGTGGTTACGAATTGGGCTGCTAATCTCACGGTCAAGCAGTTCAAAAGTACCAGCTGTTCTGCAGGAGAAAGATGAGGCTTTACGCTCCCTTAAAGATTTACAGGAAACCCTGTACAGGATCGCTGTGAGTCGGAACCAACTCTATGGCACATAACAACAACAATTATTTTCCCATGTTATTGTTGTGTGCCACCGAATAGGTTCCGACTCTTAGTGACCCTGTGTAGGGTTTTCGAGAGTGGCTAGTGGGCTTTAGCTGCCAATCTTGCAGTTAGCAGTCCAGTGCTTACCCTACAGCGCCACGCCTGGGCTCATATTGGGCTGAAAACCATAAGTTTCTGGAATCAACCATCTCTTGGATAGTAACCTTACTTAACAGTTTTCTCATGTGTACAATGGGGATAATAATATCTACCTTTGTTGTAAGAATTAATCTTTGTAGCTATGTCTGACCCACATGAAGCACTCAGGATCTGAGATAGCCTCCCTTAGATCAAGACGGGTAGCTCCAAGGTAACAGAAACTTTTGTTTCTTTCTTGGTCATTTTGTGACTGAATTTCCACATCATTATCTCTAGCAGCAGTCTTGTCCAGATCCTCTTCTCAAATAGCTAGCTATCCCCACATACATTTTTAGAATGTATGCATAATTTCAACTTACTCGCTGAAATTGTAACTTCCTTAAAAATAAATCAAAACTCTTAGGATTCTGACAAGGAGACATTGATTTTGTATTACCTTCAAAAGGCGTTCTCTCCTTCCTCCCCCATTTCTACACTGGGTGGAAATGTCTTTGTGAGAATACCATTATTCACTGGGTTTTTAATGATTTCTGGTTAAGTTTGTATAACTCTTGCCAGTACACATCATCTCATTTCAATATCCACTAGATCATTATCATACTCCAACTTCATGTACTAGAGCCTTTCCCAGAGAATTTGTCATAAGAAAGAGTAAGTCCCAAAGATGGAAAATTAAGCAGCAAAAGAAATTAAATGTATGTGTCCATGTACATATTTGGGGATGAATAGGAATGTTTGAGAAGACTTCAGAAGAGGTGTTCCACATGAAAGGTATAATGAAGCAGTTCTCTGTCTAGACTTGATTATTAGAATTTCAGTAATGATCATTTTTTTCAGGGGCAGATCCTATTGGGCTGCTCTTTGTTGTTTTAACAGATTGCCCTGTAAATGAAAAATTTCTCTGCTTCTTGCCTCAAGTACTATATGTAATATTCGCTCTTTGGTATTATAGATTTCCTTTAGTAACTACAAAGGCATTTTACTAGGCCCCTAGGCTAGTGTAATAAAATACTTGAAAATACATACAGCTTTTAGATGCAGTGTTCAGCACCTTCCAACCAGTTCCTGGTAAACTACATTTTTTCCCCCTCAATTGTTAAAATGTTAGCTATTTTTCTGATGTACCTTAATCTGAAGAAGTGAATCATAGATAAAGTGTGATAACGCTTTTCAAATGACTTGAAGGACTAGGGGACAAAAGATTGCGTTTTTTGTGTGTGTAGTTACATGGAACAGGATTAGAAGCAGTATGTAAAAGACTCAGGGAGATAGAGTAGACTTTGCTTTTCTAACAATTGGGACTCCTAGTGTGGTGTTGTAGGATCAGCACTGGACTGCAAACCACAAGGTCGGCACTTCAAACCTCGGAAACCCTATAGTGAGTCGCTATGAGTCGGAACCGACTCAACAGCACTTCACAATTGAAAAGTGTTTGGCAATGAGCAAGTTATTCTTTGGAGTAGTGAAAATATTCAGGTATCCTAAAGCCAAGATCTTAGAATAAGTTGTTTCCTTCCCTAGTTGTCAGCAGGCATAGGATGTTTCTCTTTTGGTACTAGGCATTGTAGTGAGGATTCCTTATTTGTTCTAATAATAATTTGAGACTTGTAGGGCTGTTTGGAGAGGATGGAGATCAAGTGCACACCACTTAGAGTAGCTGGGTACAAGACCAGCTGCCTGTCATGGTAAGTTGTGAAGTGCCATTGAGTTGGTTGCAACCCATAAAGACCCTGTAGAGGGTTTCTGAGGAGCAGCTATTGAGTTTGAACCACTGACCCTGTGGTTCAAATTGACATTGAGGTCGACTGCTTATCCTCTGGCGCCACACCAGCACTTTTCAGCAGTACCTAGTCTATGTGGTTTTTAGTGAGTGGAGAATAAAGTCCTTGTGTTATCTAAAGCCCTTCTGAGCTCAGGACAACCTTGCGCTTCTACCAGAGAGCATCTTCCAACAGAAGCAGGAGACATTTATGCCATTACCTCTTCCTCTGTATTCTGATGGCACAGTTTTTGGGGTAAAAGCAGCAGAGCAATGTCATGAAACAGCATCTGGGTGTGTCACAGTGCACACCCACCGTGTCTGGTCTAATGCCTTCTAAACCCAGCAAATAATTTTTTGTATGTCATTGGATACTACAAGCTCTCTGGCCCTAAAAGACTAACCTTTCAGGCCAGGCTTTTAAATGAGGATAAAACTGTAGAGATACTGTTTCCAGGCCCCATCCAGCTCTAGAGTTCTGTTCTTGATTCTTTGTGTTATGCTTGGAGATCAAAGGAATGAAATCTCTTTTAAGGTAAGCCCTCAAAAAGTGAGTGCCTGCTTTGTGCCTGGGGTCATAGATACAAAGAGGAGTAAGACAGCCCTTTGCCCTTTAGATGTTTCCAGAACCCAGGGCAGTTTTCTAGTTAGTATAATTGTAGAAAGCAAGAGAAGGTAAGTCTGTAGAAAATTATTCCCTGATGCCTCTTGCCCCCACTGCAGCCTAGAATTTCAGTGTGTCCAGGTCCACTTTATGGCCACCCTTTCTTTCTGGAGCACCGCCAGCCCTTTCAGTAGGGATGACTCTGCCCTTTCCACAGGGCATCTCACCAGCCCCTCTTCCCCACCCTTGACACTGGGTGTTCAACCTGCACAACCCTTTGTTTCTTCACAGACTCTTTGGTGGGAAGCCTACCAAGCAAGTGCCCATTGCCACAGCTGAAAACATGAAGAATTCAGTGGTCATCTCCAACCCTCATGCTACCATGACCCAGCAAGGTAACTTAGACTCCCCATCAGGCAGCGGCGTCCTGAGCAGCGGGAGCAGCAGTCCTCTCTACAGTAAGAATGTGGACCTCAACCAGTCTCCTCTAGCCTCCAGCCCTAGCTCAGCCCACTCGGGCCCCTCCAACAGCCTCACCTGGGGCACCAACGCCAGCAGCTCCTCAGCAGTTAGCAAGGACGGCCTGGGCTTCCAGTCGGTGAGCAGTCTCCACACCAGCTGTGAGTCCATTGACATCTCTCTCAGCAGTGGAGGGGGACTGAGTCACAACTCCTCCACTGGCCTGACCGCCTCCTCCAAGGACGACTCTCTGACACCCTTTGTCAGAACCAGCAGTGTGAAGACCACACTGTCAGAAAGGTTGGTGGTGTGCATCTGGCTGGCTGCCTTTACCTCTCAGGGGCCTCCTTCCAGAAGTCAAAAAGAGATGACCTTAGGACTCCCAATATGGCGTCTCTCTCTCCGATTACTGCTGTCTTTCCCTGGGAAAGCCATTTGGGATGGGACTAAGCTGGGCTCTGCTCCCTGTTACCTTTCTCCTTGTGGTTTTGCTCAGTGCTCTGAGCTGCTGGGAGCCTCTTGGGGGCAGATTTAATGCTTCCATCTGAAATGGCATTCAGCCTCTGAAATTCTGGCATGTTTTTCTGTTTGTTCATCAACTGCTTCTTTTTCCACTTACTGCCATTGTGCAAGCAGAGAAGGTGGGGGCTGCTTCAGCCCTAGAGTGTGTGGTAGGACACTCTTCAGGCAGCTGAGTAGATTAGATGGTTATCCTGACAAACACCCTCCTACTGAAGGGATAGGAAATCAGAAATCTAATAGGACCCCTACAGAGCCTTGGATTTCACTGCAGTAGTGGAATGTGTGGAGTGTCACCACACAGGGCAGAAATGCCAGCTCCACAGTGCTAAAGAGAAATGTTCTGATCTCTGTGTATTACACCACCTCCCTTTCTTCCAGTCTAATGTACCTTCTCTTGTTTTCTACCTGCCTGAACTTCTAGCCCTCTCTCTTCCCCTGCCGCTAGCCCTAAGTTCTGCAGAAGTACTCTGCCCAGGAAACAGGACAGGTAATGACACTGTAGGCTGGGGACCCTGCTGAGCCTTCTCTAGGCATCTGTGCCTGTCTGTGTCAAGCTAGATGTTTTGTGTGAGGCTGTTGGCCCGAGGCTCTTGCTTGTGTTTGTGGCTCCAGTGTTCTCTGTGGCACCCAGACATGCCAGCGAGGGTTGGCTCTGCTGTCCACTCAAGCCTGAAGACCTGGGTGGCAGAAGCTTTCACTGGCATCTCGGCCTTCCCATGGCATGCGCCCGCTTCCCAGCTCCCCACCCTTTCCTTTCTCTGCCCCTCCTCCTCCAGTCCCAGAAATGCTCTGCCACCCACTGTGCAGTTGGCCCTCACCTTCGCCCACCCCCCACTCCCCACTCCCCACGCAGCTGGCTCCTCTCCCTTTCCGAAGTCCTTTGCTGCAGTTTCACGCGTTGTGTCTTGCAGGCTGTGGTGTTGTGTGTACCCGTTTCCTGTAATGATAACGAGACAGAATTTGTGGAGGGTTGAGACTCTGCAAACGAAGAGGCTTGTGTCTGCCCCCGGTTTCCCTGTGGGTGGGCCTTCAGCGGTGGATACTGGCCTTAAATTTGTGGGGGAGAGGTCGTTCAGCCAAACATAATAAGCAGATGTTGTTTCATGTTTAAAAAAAAAATAATAATGTATAACCTCTTCACCCCATCAACAGCAAAAACTTTGTTTTTGTCAGACTCACAAACCAAGCCTTTAAACTCCTGTTCTTTGGAAATCCAAATGCCTTGACTTTATCAGCCAGCAAGTTGTAACATGCCCTGACTTGGGCCCAGGGCTCAGCTCCTAGCTACACCCAATAAAGGCTGCAGAAACTAAGAGGTACCTGGAATTCACTTTGCTGCAAATGAATTCCAAACATGCAGACTGCTAGCCTCTCGAAACCCTCCAACCAGGCCCATCTTCCAATTGGCGCCATTACCAGTGGCATTTAGGCAGAAGGCCAGGGCTTGGTGTGCAGAGAACCTGGTACCTCTGTCTCTGAGAAGCAGTGATGGAGTTGCAGAGATGAGTGACTGAAGACTCTGCTATGCAGCAGCGCAGCCCTGGAGGTTTGCTTTGAGGCTATGGAAAGGAGGAACAATTGTGCTGGAATAGCTTGGGGTAAAGTACACTCTGATGTCAGCACAGGGTTACCTTTGCTTTCCGTGGATGTGGTGCATGTGTAGCTGGATTAGGACCACGTGGATTTTGGTCCTCGTCTCTCTTACCAGATCTTTACAGCCCCCTCCCCAGCCTTTCCTCCTTCCTATCCCTGCCTCTCCTTGCTTCTCTGAAGTTCATTTTTGTTTTAACTTTCCTACAGTGACCCGCACCTTGATAGGAACACTTTGCCTAAGAAAGGACTCAGGTATCTGTTTCCTCCTTTCATCCATGCCATCCGGTGTGGCTTTGGAGCTTGGCTATGGGACTCTCGTGGCTGATTGGGGTCTGGGCTGGGCTGGGGTTCTCTACTTTGGCCACCGCAGCAGGAACCTTTGGATGAATTTTCCCCTCGCTCCTCCCTCCTCTTCTCATCTCTCCATCTTTTGGCTTATTTGCTTGAGCAGGAACTGTACGTTTTCAGGCTGAATGTGGTAAACCATCTCATGAAAAACTTCCCTGCGCAAGCCCTCAGAGCAATCTCTGCTGCTTCCAAGGCTGCTGGGCTGTTGGCTGAGCAGTGTGCACCATGACCATCCATTTATGGGGCAGTCTTCAAGAGAAAAGACACGACTTACGGCATGTTGATTTGTTCAGAGGGACAAGAGCAAAGGAGAGAGGTTTTTCCCCAATGTTGAAATCATGTCATTTTTTGGGGCCCATAGAAAATTACTTAAGATAGATAAATAACACTTGTCTCAATAGTCTAATAAAAAATTGGGTCAACTTTCAATGTCCAGCAAGACAGCTGTAGGATCCTTTTTTTATAGGTGAAATAAGAATTCCTACCAGGAAAGAATTTCCTTCCATGCCTAATAAGTAATGGCTTGGGTTTGTGTTGGGTGCTAGTCCTGGTGAAACAGTATGCTCGAAGTCACCATCGCTCAAAATCACCATTGCTCACACCATCTAAACTACTTTGCCAACCAGAAGAACTTCCTGTCTGCTAATGTCTCCCCCATGATCTTACTGTCTCACAATTGCGGCTGTCATCTCTCCTGCTCTCTGCACACCGCGTTCTTTGTAGCATCAGCTTCACCCTGCACTAAGCATTAAGTGCTTTTGCTTAAAATGGAACTTGGAATGACATGTTTCATTGCTGTCATGTATGTCTTAGCTCTTAATGCATAGCTCTTTAGGCTGAGAATATTTCGAACATTACATGAGGGTAGGTATCAATGCGTCCTTTCAATAGGTGCTCCATGTAAAGCCAGTTCTAAGGACCTAAGAAAGAAAGTATTGAAAAATCCCCCAACAGATGCCCTATGGGAGGGGGAGGTCAGCACAACAGACGTAAAAAGGGGGATTTTTTTTGGCCATGCCCTGTGTACTTAACAGTTTGCATCAGGCTGATCAGGGCTACTTGTTAGCAAACAAGCGAGATGCTGAGATCCTGGCCACTCTTCGTGTGAGTTTGATATTGATGCCCGGTTCTTGTCTCAGAAGGAAGCTGACCTCTCTAAAGACTAACATTTTGAAATGTTATGTATATTTGTGTAGCAGATTCTATCATGTCAAAATAATGTAACTCTGGCTCTTTAAAGTAGGTTTTCCAGAAAGGATTTGTGACCAACCATGCAATTGATGTGACCTAGAGAGTTACATGTCTATCAAAACCTATAGTACAAACATTAAGGGAGAAACAAACGTTTGATGTTCCTACTCACTCTGACTCTCCCTATAGACATACCCATTACCAACACACCAAATAGCACTACACCAAAACCTTCTGTTAGGTCAAAAGAATTCTTCTATTTATGTCACCAGTAGTCAGTAAGCACCCTGTTTATAAGTTCATGGGTACCCTGGCCATGTGGGGATGTCACATAGTCTAGATGTTGCCTATAGGAATAAGGATAAGAGCCTGGGTTTTGAAATTTAAACAAACACGAATTAGAGTCTCACCTAAGTGACACTCAGCTTCACTAAATGCAAAATGGAAAGAATAGTGTCTGCATTGCTGGGTAGGTTTGAGGCTTCTGTGAGAGAGGGTCTATGAAGATACCTAAAACATTGTAGACATTTATTCAGTCATGGCCAGATGCAACCCAGTGACTTGGGTTTCCTTTATGAAGACGTGCTTAAATGTAATCCGCTTAGGCTGGATCGCAGCACATGCTGTAAGCTTCGTGTTCTCAAGATCTTTCCCCCTTACAAGGTTGACTCATGGCCACGTTGCTGTGCTCTAGAATGCAGATGACAGGAGATGTCTAATTAAAACATCCTCAAAGCTCATACAGCAGCATGTTTTGTTGCTTCAGTCGTGTAAAGGCAGGGGTTTTGACATGACACTGTCATGAACCAACATGTTACAGGTACGCCCAATGACGGCTCTTTTGAGCATTTACCAGTCTTGTTTCCTTTATATATTTCTTCCAAACTGAAAGGAATGGCAATTTTCCCAAAGGCAGTCCAGTAGGAAAAAAACATTTTGAGAAACTTTATAAGTTTCAGGGTGTGTGATTATTTGAAGCCTTCTTTGGATGTGTATGCATACATATATATATTTACTATCAGTACCATGGCGTTCTTTTTCATAAGTGTTGTTCGTAGTTAATGCCAACTTGATTTCTTTCTGTCCAGGTATACTCCCACCTCCCAGCTCCGCACACAAGAAGACGCAAAAGAATGGTTACGGTCCCATTCTGCAGGAGGTTTGCAGGACACGGCTGCCAATTCTCCCTTTTCCTCTGGCTCCAGTGTAACTTCCCCCTCCGGGACAAGGTTCAACTTTTCCCAGCTTGGTGAGTAACTCCTTGTATTTAGCTGTGTACATCAGCTTCAAGGGGCAGAGGTTATCTTGTGTTTTGAAAGAAGCATGTGGTCATAGACAGGTGGCCATCCATCTCAGAATCTGATCAGCCCTAGGCAATGTAGTTTGATGATGAGAGCTTGCTAGCCAAAGGAAGAGAGAAAATAGCAAAGCTTTTGTATTCTAATCAGTCGTTTTCTTTACATGGTTTATATAGGTGGGGGTATAGCATTGAGAGAGTATATTTTATTTTGAAGAAGTCGGGTTTCACAGCATAGCCCGGATTTGGATATCTTCATGAGGGCAGGGTGGGAGTGGAGCAGTTTATGATTGAGCAAGAGCTCTTGGAAATGCGTACACTGACATATTGCTTTGACTGGCGCAGTGGGGAAAGGAAAAAAAAATTATAACACTGTTTCCGCTGACATGTCAGTAGAAGCTTTGTAGAGACACAAAACACGCCCACATACGCCCATAAAATAGGGTGAAAGCGAACAATCCAAGCTTTCGATGGAACTGAATATAATTAGATGGCCAATACGGTACACTGTCAGAAAAAGAGAAAATCAGCGTTGGCTGGAGTCTAGGGGGAAGGTTACATGAACAGGAGCATGTTTCACAATGGGAGCTGGGCCTTGGAGGATGGATACAGAGGAGAAAATGTCTTTTCTAATCTTGTCTTGCTCTTTAGAGAGGGTGCCTGTTTTGAATATAGTGATCGTTTATTGTGATAATAAAGTCTCAGTCATTAAGCACAGGTGTGGCTTATCATCCCATAAGGCTTAGGTTTTTTTGTATTTTTACAAGTGAATTTATATTTATAACCAAGAGATTATTTGTAAGTGTTATTAAGTGCCTTCGAGTCAGTTCCAGCTCATAGTGACCCTGTCTGTATAGGGTTTCCCAGGCTCTAAATCTTTGTGGGAACCAAAAGTATCATCCTTCTCCTAAACCAAGAGATATGAGGGGTTGGGGGGGAGGGGGAGCCAAACGAACCCACTGCCATTGAGTTGATGCTCACTCATAGTGTCCCTGTTTAGGGTCCCTATGTAAGTTTTATGGAGCAGATAGCCCCATCTTTATGCTGTGGAGCAGCTCATGGGCTTGAGCCATAGACCCTGTGGTTAGCAGCACATTTAACCCACAGCACCATGAGCCAGAGTGCTAGAATATGTGTAAGTGAGAAATGATACATAGGTAAAAATAATCTAAATTATAATAGAGGAGTCATTTTGCAGCACTGGAGAATAAGCACTGAACTGCTAACCACAAGGTCAATAATTCAAACCCACCAGCCACTCCTTGGAAAACCCTACACAGGATCGCTGTGTTTAGGAACTCTCTCACCGGCACTTATAGCGACAACAACAAGATACTTACAGGATGAAGGAATTGACCTGATTAATAATCAAAGGAGATCTCTGAAAGTAATCCTAGACCATTCTCTGAAGCTCCTGTGTGAAAGAAACGATATGGGTCACGAAATAAAAAAATACATTGTGGAAAAAATATAATCATTTGTTAAAGCTTCATTTTTGATTAACTAAATGGGTACCTCAAAAAATAATGTGCATTACTGAAATGGACAGCATTTTAATAAGACCACATTTGGCTCAGGTCTGTGTGCCCCCTTTGAGGCCTGTGTCCTTCCTGTTCTTTCCCAGCCATAACTCTTTGAGGCAAGAGATTCTTGTCATGCATAAATGTTTCCCATCTGATTAAAAGCTGAGTTGGACTATTTTGGGCTTTGTCTTTAGAAAGACTTGTTCCAGATGAGTCCAGGGAGTAATTACCTCATGCCTGAAAGGTGACACTGGCTTGTTTGGACGTGCCAAGTTGGAAAGCTGAGGCCCAGAGCCTGGCTTTGGAAGTGACCTGTCTTTCCTCCTTTATTTTTAGTTCTGCGTTTGTAGCTCAAATGTGTCCGTCTTTCAGTGAAGAGAAGGGGAGAGAAGTTGGCAGGATGTAGATGGTTGACAATAAGCAGGCTCTTCTTTGTCCCTCATGTAGGAATTGAACAGAGACATGAAATTTCCAAACCTTGATTCCATTCCTTTCATTGCAGCGAGTCCCACCACAGTCACCCAGATGAGTTTATCCAACCCCACCATGCTGAGGACCCATAGTCTCTCCAATGCCGATGGACAATATGACCCGTACACTGACAGCCGCTTCCGGAACAGCTCAATGTCCCTGGATGAGAAGAGCAGAACCATGAGCCGTTCTGGCTCATTCCGGGATGGGTTTGAAGAAGGTTAGTAGGAGCGCTGCCATCGCTCAGATTACATAATGTTGTTGGTGGTCACATCCTTGACCTGAGAGCCACCTGCAAGTGCTTTTACTCCTCCCACCTACTCTGGAGGTAGGTCAGGGCTCAAGGATACAGGTCTGAGAAACTTGCTCTGACCCTTCGTTAAGCTTGGGGGATTTTAGGGAACAGGCTGCTGAGAACGCATTGGTGAACCTTAGATCTGACCAAGTTCTGCTCTATGTGTCTCTCTCCTGGACTTGGGCCACAGCTTCTTCAGACGTATCATCCCAACAAAGCAAGTTCCCAGAGAGCTCATTTCCCTGTGCTGATGTACCCATATGGCTTTAGGGGCTATGGACAATTGTGCCTCTCTCTTCATTCTAAAGTTTTCTATTTCTTTCTGCAAGCACCTGGTTTTTAAGTTGATTGCTTTCTCTTATGCCCTCTTTCATCTTTGGTTATTGATTGTGAATATTTTGGGTTGGATTTCCTGTGTTTTATTCAATTTAATCAAAGTTGAGGAGAAAAATTCTGAGGGAAACTTTGTCAGCCATCTTTGTAACTCAGTTCATTACGCTTTCGCCGTGTTCCTTCATCTAAGGTGTGAGTTAGGGGAGGAAGTAGTCAAATCGTTGTAGAGGGACATCACTCCCACCCCTGTAGAAGACTCTCAAAGACGGAGGTAATAATCCATCAGAGGCAGTAATTCATTTACTAATGGACGAGAGCCTTGAGTCAGCTTCAACACTTTTGAAGTATGTGACCTTGGGCCAGTTACTTTACCTCTCTCTGCCATTCTTCACCAATAAAATGGGAGTGATACTAGCCCCTACCTCATAGAATTATAAAAACTAAGTGAAACAGTGTATATACATGTTAGTACTTTTAAGATCATGTTTTCATATGACACAGCTGAAGCATTGGCTTCTTGGCTTCTGGAAGTCCCCAGCCAGAGGACAGGGAGTCTGGACTGAGGGCTCCACTTACAGGTGTACCCTTTTTATGCCAGTGACTGAAAAGAACATGGGAAGAGGGAATTACAGGTGCTTCCTCTGCTCCCAAGGAGCTCTGGCAGTGCAGTGGTTATGAATCGGGCTGATAACCTCAAGGTCAGCAGTTTGATACTACCAGCTAATCTGTGGGAGAAAGATAAATCTTTCTGATCCCGTAAAGATTTACAGCCTCGGAAACCTTCTGTAGGGTCGCTATGAATCGGAACCGACTCCATGGGATACCACCACCACTCTGCTCCCAGCCTGCCCAGCAGCCTCCCTATAGGAAAGAACAAGCTTGAGATGGTTTAAGAAATCCCAAGAGTCAAGAGGAAGGGAAATGTAAGATGTTAGTTATGCCTCAGCCCTTTATAACAACAGTTTTAAGAATTGAGTGGCAGATTGATTGTTCCCTGCAACGTAATACTCTTGCCCCTGATTTATGTATCATTTGCATCCAATGAGTAGATGTTGTTGTTAAGTGCCATTGAGTCGGTTCTAACCCATAGCGACCCTGTACAGGGTTTCCAAGGCTGTAAATCTTTATGGGAGCAGAAAACCTCATCTTTCTCCCACGGAGCGGCTGGTAGTTTCAAACTGCTGACCTTAAGGTTCGCAGCCCACTTACAAGCCTGTAAATCCCTATACAGGAACCTGCTGGGATAGAGGATTAAAGAGTAGATCCCACGTTGCTGAGAGTGTTTTTGGTAGGTTTAAGAACTAGAAACTAATTATGTAAACCCTCAAAGCTGTGATAGTAGTTACGTATCTTGGAGTTGGTTCTAACTCATAGTGACCCTATATAGGGTTTCTAAGGGTGTAAATCTTTACAGGAACAGAAACCTTTTCTTTCTCCAGTGGAGCAACTAATAGATTAAATTAGTGACCTTGTGGTTAGCAGCTCAACTTGTCACCACTACGCTGTCGGGGCTCCCTTAGAACCGTGATGGTGCAGGTGAAGGTGTAAAGCAGATCACCTTTTACTTTTTCCTAGTTATGTGTGTTGCTGCCAAGCATAGCTCCAGAGCATTTCCTAGCCTAGCCAATGCCGACTTGCATCTGGAGTTTGTCCGGTACCATATTCATCTTCTCCGTCACGTGTCTACCTGCCTAAACCATGTTTGGTACTGAAACTTGTCCAAACAAGCGTATACTGCCTCATAAAGGCCCAGGACCATTAGAGTATCATCAGATAGCTTTTACTTATTCCATCTGGAATCAAGCTGTCAGGCAGCACAACTGGGGAATATCTGGAATGTCAACGTGACATTGATAAAAAGTGTGTACCCACAAGCAGTGTCTAGACTTTTGTAAACCGTAATGATTCACTCTGACGTGGAGCTAAAGGTGGAAGCAAAGTCAGACTTGTAGGGAGGAGAAAGGGACTGCTGTCAGTATAATGTTCACATGTAACTGTATATTCTCACCTTTTGGGGGAGATTTGATTTTATTTCTTCCAAGATTATTACATTCCAAAACCACAGTAAAACTCACCATTGTCAAGTTGATGACCACTCCTAGCAGCCCTTTGGTACAGAGTAGAACTGCCCTGTAGGTCTTCCAAGACTGGGAATCTTCCTGTAGTAGACTGCCGCGTCTTTGTCCTGTGAAACAACTAGTGGTTTCCAACCTCTGACCTTTCTGTCAGCAGATGAACACATTAACCACTGCACCACCAGGACTCCTAAAAACAAAGTTGTTGATGGTTAAATGCCGTAGAGTCAGCTCTGACTCATAGTGACCCTGTAGAGGGTTTCCAAGGAAGGAGTGGTTCCCAGTTTGAGTTGCTGAAACAATTCATAGCTCATCTTTGCACCGAATACTCATTGCTGTCAAGTCGAATTCTGACTCCTTGTGACCCTATAGGATAAAGTAGAATTGCCTCATAGCCGTTTGAAGTCTGCAAATCTTTATAGAGGCAGACCTACTTATAATAGTCCATTGTTGTTGTCTTAAGTGCTGTGGGGGCTGGTGTAATAAATAGTCAATTAGGTACATTATATTCCGTGAAGCAGGATAGAAATTCAGGAGGAATTAGCATAAGTACTTGGGTGAGGTTGCTGTGTGATTTAATTAGCGCTTTCCATTCTGAAGGAAGTGAGAATCATAAATATGTAGATTAGGTACTGGGATGGCCCAGATGCACCCTTTCAAAGTTATTTCAGGTAAGTTAATTTTTATGAAATACATTGTGCAATCTTAAAGTCAGCCTTAATAGCACATACTTAAGGAAACACTTAAGGCATATTTAAAATGGATGATTTGGGGACAAAAAAACCCAAAAACCCCAAAACATCCAGTGACTTGGCCTATCATCAGGAAGAGTTAATACGATCTAGAGCACAGAAATCGCCTCCCTTCAGTTTCCATGGAATCCACCGGAACAAAGCAGCTTATCAATAAAGAGAGATGGTCTTGTCACTCACTGGTGTTCCTAACCCTTGAGTTACAGATCTGATTGGAATCCCAGGACCACCTCTGTTAGTAGTGCGAGTTTGGGTAAAGCGCTCAAACCTGCTCAGACTCTGCCTCTAATTCACTAAAATGTAGAAAATCACTGGACCTGCTTTAAGAGATTGAAGTGAAGAGTAAGTGAGGTAAATCCCAGAAGCATTTAGCAAAATAACGTAAAAAGGGGCTCAATCCTTTTGAGACCAATAATTTCATTCTGTTGAGTGATTTCACCCTTCTCAGGTATGTTATTGTTGTTACGTGTTGTCAAGTCAGTTCCGATTCTTAGGGACCCTGGATAGTGTTTCCTGGAGTCCTGGTGTAGTGCTGTAGGATAAGCACTGGACTGCAAACCACAAGGTTGGTGGTTTAAACCCACCAGCTACTCCTTGGAAACTGTATACAGGGTTGCTGTGAGTCAGAACTGACTCATCAGCACTTAACAAAATAGTAGAGCAGCTGGTGGGTTTGAACTGCCATCCTTGTGGTTTGCAGTCCAGTGCTTATCCTACAGAGCCACACCAGGACTCACTATGAGATACAGGGAGGAAAATTGCTTGGAATTCATTAGCTGTTTAGCTTTGGGACGTTTCATATGCATTTTGTTGTATTAAAGTACATGTCATAGATTGAACTGTGTCCCCCCCAAATATGTGGTAACTTGACTGGGTGATGATTCCCAGTGGATTAGCAGTTAGATAGTGATGTAATGTGGCAGTTATGGGATGAGTCCACATAACGTGATCCGATGTATAACCTGACCAGATGTACGGGAGGTTCCCAGGGGTGTGGCCTGCAACACCTTTGGTCTTCTAAGAGATGAAAGGAGAGAGAAGTGAACAGAGAAGGAGGACCCATTACCACTAAGGAAAAAGAGTTGGGAGCGAGTGTGCCCTTTTTACCTGAGGTCCCTTTAATATGAATCTTCTAAATCCAGGGGAAGACTGATGCCAAAGCACAGGGAGCTTTCCAAGAAATGATGGGTCTACAGATGCTGAGGAGTCCTGGCGTGGTGCTGTGGGATAATGTTCTGGACCACAAGTTTGGTTTGAACTGCAAGGTTGCCAGTTCAAATTCACCAGCCTTCCTCAGAAACCCTACACAGGGTTGCTATGAGTCAGAATGGACTCAACAGCACTTAACAATGATAACAACAGATGCTGAAAGAAGACAGGGACCTTTCCCCAGAATTGACAGAAAGAGGAAGCCTTCCCTTACAGCTGGTACCATGAATCTGGACTTCTTGCCTCCTAAGATGTGAGAGGATACGTTTGTTTTTAAAGCCATCGCTGTGTTAATTCTGTTATAGCAGAACCAAGTGATTCAGTTAGGACGCAAGCTACATAACCCAGGCTCTGACTTGGCACACCTCACATGAAGGAGTGCCAGCTGTAGTGGTTCAGGCAGGCCACATTCAGTTTTAGGGTGGACTCTGGAAATCAAGGAATCTGTCTCCTTGGACCACAGCCTTACTGTTGCTGTTTACCAAGTGGGTGGAGTTAATTACAGGAAAGCCTGCCAGATGTGCTGGCCTCTGCCTGAGGCAGTAAGCTTTCACTGAGATGTTGCTGGCAGCAGTGTGGCAGTGTGGAGAAGCGGCTTCCATCCAGCAGCCCTTTGTATTCCTACAAGTATGATTGATGGGTGGTTGAATGTTAGCCTCATCTCTCCCCAGCTTGTGATCTATGTCATGGGGAGTTGCCTGTAACTCACCCCTCTGGAACATTAGGCCACTGGGCATTAGATGCCTCTGTTAATAATAGCACTAAAAGCCATTGTTGTTGTTATTAAGTGCTGTCGAGTCCATTCCGACCCACAGCAACCCTGTATGGGGTTTCCAAGGAGTAGCTGGTGGCTTGAACTACTGACCTTGCCGTTCAAACGACTTTGCAGTCTGATGCATTAGCCCACAGTGCCACACCAGGACTGCACTAAAAGCCATTATGGACCATTAATACCTTAATCTGATTTTTTGGGGGTATAGGTCAGGTGCCTCGTGGAGGAAGGGAGGAAGAATTGAGAAGGTCTGTAACTCGGGGCTTTGCTAAAGAGGATAGATAAATGTGATAATGCAGGGATGCCTCAGAGCAGCACGCACCTACTAAGAGAGAAGAGGGCTGGAATGGCAGACCAAGAGCTGCCTGGGTTGGGAGGAGACAGGAAGCCCATCCAGGCAGTGGTCAGTGAAATGAAGGAAGGTTGCTGGGAGAAAACATCTCCTGAGCCTATCCTAGAGACTCTGACGGACAGAATTTAGAACCATCATAAACAAAAGGAAATGTGTGGACAACTACTCTGAGGCAGGTACTCTGCAGGGCCTACAGGAGAGGATAGTATGCAGAAGATACTCAGTGAGAGAAGAACATGTAAGGAAGAGGGGGTGGGTCAGGGAGGTCTGTTAAAAAGAGGGTGTGGGGGTAGCTTCTGCTGACTGCCATCCAAATTGAGTTTACTTCTTGGGTGGTAAGTGAATGCCATTTAGTACACGTGGAGAATTATTCCCGGGCCTCCTACTCTCAGACCGCAGGTATTAGGGTAGCATTAGGGGGAGGGGCAAGACATTCCACCCATGGTCAGGAAAGCTGTGCCCAATTAAAAGTCCTTGATGTCTCTATGGGTAGTTATCTGTCTTTCAAACAAGTTGCCAAGAGATTACTAAGAATATGTCATGAAAGAACCTGGTTTCTACAAAGAGACAGGCAGCCTGAATATCCCTGTCCTAGGAGAGCTCATGCTTTTTATCAAACTACGTGAAAACGAACACATGATACACTGTTACCACTGGCTGGGGCAGGGGAGAAGGATGCTAAAGGGGATGGTAAGGAGGATGAATCAAAAACTGTAAGTGATGAAGAGAAAAGTGGACACCACTTACCTGTCACTTTGTAGACATACTAGAAGCACATAAAGAAGCCAGATTTTAGTGAATGCATTCTGAGCAAATGTTCTGCTACATGGTCATCTAGAATGAAGTTATTATGACTAGAAATTGCTTTATGCTCAGAATAATCAGCTCATTGTTTTCTCCATATACAAGTAGCAGATGCTATTAGTGTATAGGAAATATGTATATATATATATGGTGCAATCTCAACTTTAATATATATGCTTTTATTTTTTGAATATACCTTTTGAAAAATGGAATAAAAGAGCAATTTTGCCTCTGGGTAACGGAATTATGAGTCACGCAGGTTATGGTGGTGAATATGCTTCATAACACTTCTTTATATTTGAACATTTTTATTCAATGATCATAGTCAGAAAAAAAATATTTGGCAGGCTGTAGGAAAAAAAATTTAAGAGTGGGAAAGTTGACTCTCAGCAGCAAAGATTTCCTTATTCGGCACTGATCTATCATCACACCGGGCTGAATCATGGTGACATCAAGCTGTTCTGTGTCAATGTGTCTGCCGGACGTGTCCTGCCTGTTCAGTCCCTCCCCTTCTTGCTGGCTTCATCGCAGTTACCAGTGCAATTCACCGTTTCTCTTTCTTTACAGTTCATGGGTCTTCACTCTCCTTGGTCTCCAGCACATCATCGATTTATTCCACTGTGAGTACAAAGACCTGCCACTGGCTGGGCTTTGCCTTTATCACCTCTCTCAAGAGGCAGCTGTAAACTCTCTCCTATAAAGAGTGGTTAATTTCAGAACAAGATTTGCACTTCACAGACAGCTTTTAGTTACAAGGTGCCTACTAATAAATTCAGGGAGTCCTGGTGTGGTGCTGCAGGGTCATACACTAGACTACATGGTAAAGACAGGGTCGCTATGGATCGAAACAGACGTGACGGCACATTTCAACAGTTAATGAAGAGCTGACTGTTCAAATGACTTTTTGCTTTGGGTAATGACTGCTTAGAATGTCTGGGAAGTCTCAGTCATTTCTGGTCATAAGGGGAAAAGGAAGATTTGAGCTTCTGTTTCACTATCTGTAAAATAGAAAGAATAGCACTTCCAACCTTATAGAGAAGGGGTGTTCTGGTGGCACTCAGCTGCTAACCCAGAGGTTGGTGGTTCAAACCCCTGAGCTCTGTGGGAGAAACATGTGGTAGCCTGCTTTCATAGATTAGAGCCTTAGAAACCAGATAGGGCAGTTCTACCCTGTTCTGTGGGTCATTATGAGTTAGCAATGGGTACCTTATAGGGCTGAAATGAGGATTAGATGTTATTAGAATTGCACTTCCCTATACTATAAACTCCTTGATGAAAACAATTGTTTTCTGTTCTTATTCCAAGTGTCGATAACAGTGCCTCGCACATAGTTGTTGTCGTTGTTAAGTGCCATTGAGTCGGTTCCAACTCATAACTCCCCTGTATGGGGTTTCTGAGCAGCTAGTGGGTTTGAACTGCCGACCTTTCAGTTATCAGTCCAATCGCTATCCTACAGCGCCACACCAGTTTAAATGAGATCATACATGTAAAGCATCAAGTTAGCACTCAGTAAGTGTTAGCTATCATCAGTGAGAGGATTATTGAACAAAAGCAAAATAAAATCAAATGTACTGCATTTGTTTAGTGGTGCTTAGTTTTTATAGCTATACACTTATAAATGGAGTCATGGTGTGGCGTGGTAGGATAATGTCCTGGATCACACAGTCAGTTTGAGTCTCAGGGTCGGCAGTTCAAATCTACCAGCTGCTTCTCGAAAACCCTATGCTATACAAGGTCTCTATGAGTCAGAACCGACTCAATGACACCCAACCACAACAGCAATTATAAATATCCCAAATCCTCACTTATCAACATGGTAAGGTTCCAAAGACCAGGTCCTAATGCAAAAATTGGCATTATGTGAAAAGCACATTAGATCACAAAGTAGAGAATGACTGCATCATTATATAACTGGTAAACCACTGAGAATCGTGACCCAGCAAGTTGCCACAGCACTCTTCCCTTGCACCTCAACATTCTGCATTGCCCGATGTATGTCACAAATGTGCAAAATATTGTCCATTTTTCAATACAAAACATCAGATAACAAGATAGTTGATAAGTGAGGAATAGGTATCCTTGTCTTAAAACTTTAGTTCCAGAATTCCCACAGGAATCATGTTTTTAAGGAAAATCACGAATTCTCTAACCCTAATAATAGCAGGTTTCTGGCCTGGATAACAGGGTGAACTACAGAGACCATTGCAAGTAAGATACCATCCCAGAAGCAAGTGAAAGAGCACAAGTCCTGGTTGTTCACTCTTAAGCAAGCACAACAAACATCGGTGATCATTGACGTGGTCTGATTCAGAGGTTCCAGGAACACACCCTGACACTTCTTCCCACCTTGCTCCCCCTCTAACTCCAAAGTACCTCTTTTCTACACTGGTCATCTTTTCTAGCTTTCATTTTAAGGGGCTCATATACAATGAGCTTCCATTATCTCTCAATTCCATTTTTTCATGAGCTTTCTGAAGCCCCCTCATAGGACTTCATTAACTCTTCTTTTGTGGTTGTTGTCATTAAGTACCATTAAGTCAGTTCTGACTCATAGTGACCCTGTATAGGGTTTCTGAGGAGCAACTGGTGGATTTGAGTTGCCGACCTTGTGGTTAGCAGTCCAGTATTTATCCTATAGCACCACACCAAGACTCCAAATCCTCTCTTTTCAGAAGCAGTTATTGAAGCTGTTACCTGTGAAGAAAGTTTAGAAATGGATAAGCTGAGTTCTTCTAGAATGAAACTCTGGGATGTGGTTAGGTACCAGGACTGCTACTTACAAAACTAAATTTACTCAACTGTATCTACTGAGGTCATGTGTCTCATGGACTCTGAGCTAAGACCTGAGAATATGGTTTAGGTAGAGAGGATGCTGCTAAAAGAAGCTGGAGGTGCCAGAGGCACCAAGGGATATGGGCCTCTGCAGTATCATGGGGTCTACACAGAACAGCAATCACAGATATTTCTATGCCTAAACCCCATATTTTCATAGTGGCATTTTCTATCAGTGTAGACAGGGGAAATCCTTTGCAGATAAGTGAAAAATGGTAGGTTGCCCTGCATCAGACAGCCTTATAGGGAAGGTACATGAGCTTCTCCAACTCATAAGTATTCTGATCTAAGAAACCATCATGTATGATTCTGGGGCCCTACTTTGGGCCAGCCACTGGAAGTTCAAGGTGAAAGGCCCTTCTTCCAATGACTGCTGTCCTGGGTGTGTGTGACATGAAATTGTCAAGCTGGTGTTTTCATAAAATTCAAAATTGTCCTTTCTGAGTTGATATAAATTCACAAGTTACTAAAAACCTAGTGGTGGTGGTTGTGTACCATGGAGTCGGTTCTGACTCACAGCAACTGGGTATAGTGTTTCTGAGGCTGTGAATCTTTATGGGAGCAGAAAGCCTTATCTTTCTCCCATGGAACAGCTGGTAGATTGGAACTGCTAACCTTGAGGTAAAAAAAATCCAATTTGTAGTCACTACGCTTCCAGAGCACCTTCCTTTTTTTTCAGGTTAGCAAGAGACCTGAAGTCTAATCTTAGATTTTTATTTATTTATTTTTTCACTGTATAATTTTGGACAAGTCCCCTTATCAGCCTGAGTGTCTCTTGGTTTTGTTCTGTGTGTCAGGGGGTTTGCTGAGACGCTCTCAGTTCCCTGCAGTTTCAGATGCCACACAAGTCACAGTCAAAAGTTCCCATTTAGTCAGATTTTTTAAAAAGTAGTCTAACAGTTAAATATTTTCTTGCTAGAGGAGTCTCCTAGTCCCAGAACAACTGCAAGTCTGACTAGACTCTGACTTGCGAAGATCTGATTGGAGTCCCTTATCAATGATTAGCAACTTGGTGATAATGCAATTCCAGCGCTCAGGTACCTTTGTCAATGTGAAGATAAACAACACAGTTCTACTTTGATGTCAGAAAAAGAGACCTTTGGAGAATCTTAAGTTGCTGTCAACCCAGACCAAGAGCCTACACACCAGCTCAGAGCTTTAAATCTTGTTTGACAATAAGTTATTTCCCCAACAAGTGTTGTGTTGGTGGTGGTGGCTACCCAGTGGATTCCGTTCATGCAACCCTGTCTGTGCTTAGCAGGACTGCTCCATAGGGTTGCCAAGGCTGCCTTCCAGAGCAGATCATCAAACCTTCCAAGGGGCCTCTGGGTGGGTTTGAACCACCAGCCTTTCAACTAGTAGATGAGCTTATAACTGTTTGCATCACCCAGAGACTCCTAAAAACTCTCTAATTCTTGGATATTGAGACTACTGCTTCTGCCTGAAATTCTACTTTTAATTGCAAATGGAAGAAAAGGCAGCATCATATTAAACAACTCTCCTAGAGAAGTCCTGATGTAGAGTAAACCCCAGAGGTCACATCTGGCCTCAGATTGGCTTTCTTGGTTGGTTGAGAGCAGCAGCCGGAGTCCCCAGGTGAGCTTATGCTGAAAGAAAGTTGAGTGGCTTCACGAGGGACTTCCCCAAAGTACAGAAGAGCAGTAACACCTGAGCAAGATGCAAAGCACAGGGTCTCCCCAGGCCCAACCCAGAAGACAGACAGGCATAGTGGCAGTGGCATTAGCCAGAGGATAAACTGTTAAGGTCTACTGATAGAAGTGTTATAAGTCCAGGCTGCTCCTGTGTGGATGGTCCAACTACTTAAAGACCTCCACTAGCTGTCCAAGAGCTAGAGTGCAATGGCGCACTCACCATTTGTTTTTGTCTCCTTCGGCCTTATTTCTAGAAAGCCTTCATAGAAACGTGGCTATAGTAAAAGAGTCAGAGCATTTCCTGGTGAAGATCATAGGCACTAGGAATCCAATGCCTGGGATTCAATCCCAGCTTGCCCACTTACTACCTATGACCATGTGACTTATCCTCTCCGTGCTTTGGTTTCTTCTGCAAATCAGAAAGCAATAGTAGAGAATTAAATGAATAGTGAATGTAAAATGTTTGGAATAATCTCTGGCACATAGTAAATGCTATTATTACCATAAGATCAAGAATTTGACCTTGCTCACAGCCATAGCCTGGCTTCTGAAAACGATGCCTGGTGCATAGTAGGAAATCAGTAAATATTTGACAGGCAGATGAATGGATGGGCAGAGAAAGGCGGATAAATATTATCTGGGAGGGAAGAATGAGTCCTGAGGACATCTATCAAGATTTTTGTTTGATGAGATTGTCCAGCTGTGGGAATTTAGGCTAGATACCGAATCTGTCTGAGCCTCAGAAGGAATACAAACAACCCACTTTATGGGATTGCTGCAGGAGTTAAATTATATGGCCCAATATGCTTAAAAATCAGTTGCTAGTGTTGGAGCCAGCCTGCAAGGAGAGGGAGCTCTTGGGCAGTAGGGAGAAGAGGAATTGAGCGGGGGAATCAGACAGGAAGCCCCGGGGGCTAATGAATCATATTTCTCTGCATTCTGAAGTAAGTCGGGTGCTGATTTCTAAAAATAATGTGTTTTGGGAAAATAATGGTTTTATCACTAGTAAAAATGGGTGAGGATGCATAGCGAGGTCCTAAGGATTCAAGGTCGGCAGTTCGAAACTACCAGCTGTTCCGCGGGAGAAAGATGAGGGTTTCTGCACTTGTAAAGATTTACAGCCTCGGAAACCCTGTGCAGGGTCACTATGAGTCGGAAATAACTCCACAGTACTTAACAACAACAACAACAAGGACCCAATAGGCTCCTTGTTGATTTGCACTCACCCACCTGCTTCCCAAGAAGCTCCTCCACCTGGAAATGCAGGTGGTGGAATGGTGAGAACCCAGAGCAGGAAGGCCCCCAATATTCCCAGGAAGGAGTGATGTGTTCCTCCTGTATGGGCCCCAGGGGGAACCTAAGGAGTGGGAAAGAACTGTTCCCACTACAGCAGGTTTCCCCCATCCATACAAGTGTCCCCATGGGAGGTGAGAGATAGTCTGTAGTCACAGGGGCCACAGGCTTTGTCCTTTTTCCCAAGAGCCACAGGTAATTTGGGGATTTAAGGTAGGGCATCAGGAAGGTGAAGGCTGTGTATGTCCTTGTACTCTGTTGTGTCACCGGCCTGTAGAAAGGAGACAGAAAATGAGGATAAACTGTTAAGAACAGTTTCTTCCAGCCCCCCGCTAAGGTTACTAGAAAAAACACAGAATATCAAATTACATTAAAAATTCATACTTCTTAGAGTAAGTATGTCCCTGGTATTTTTATGGGATAAACTTACAACAAAAAAATACTTACATACCTTCTCGTAAAGCTCCTTACCCTATTGCCATCCCATCTCCAAAGAGAGGTAAGATGTCTCCTCACAACCAAGTAAATTAGACCCCACGCCTTCCTGACTGACCTCCCCCTCAGCCCTCTTCTTACTATTGTCCTAATTGTGCTGGTTCCTTCTAATTATAATAATAATACACTGTATTTGGCCCTTACTGAGTGGTCAGATAATTAGACCACTAGAGAAGGTTTTTATCAGAACCCAAACATGGGTTCCCCAGGGATTGGACTACATTGTTGCTTGTTCCTCAACTGGTCTAATCCTCCTGTGTTTTCTTTGCAGCCGGAAGAAAAATGCCAGTCAGAGGTAAGGCATAGTTACACATTAGACTTCTTCTTTCAACACTATCATATTTTATGAACTCCCAAAACAAGTAACTCTGGCGCTTGTCATCTTTAGATTCGCAAACTGCGGCGGGAGCTAGATGCCTCCCAAGAAAAGGTTTCAGCTTTGACCACCCAGCTGACTGCAAATGTGAGTACAGATGCAGGGCAGTGCCTCTGGTCTCTGAGCCTGTGAAACAAAAAAGACATGGGCTTCAGAGTCGGGGGGTTACTGTCAGCTATGGTACACACTGTCTCAGTGAATTTGGGCATGTTGTTATTGAACCCCAGAGCCTGTGTTTTCCTATTTACAAAATGGGGAGATTGTCATGTGATCTTAAGAGGGTGTGGAGTAGGGGAAAGAAAGAAAGAAGAATGAGATCCAGATTTCCACAATAAATAGCCAGTTGCTGTGTAATTATAATCTACACGATTACATGTCCAGGAGACACTGCCAACCAGCATTCAACAGCTGTTGAGTGCCAGCTATGCCCTGGGCGTTGGGAGTTTAACAGCAAAACAAGCATAAGTCTCTGGTCCAGCAGAGACTAAACAAGCAAGTCTGTTGGAATATGGTAACTGTTAAAACAGAGAGAAAGGGAGGAAGGAGTACCTAAGGTAGGCTTGAGGGAGGGGCTCAGGAGGGCTTCCCGGAGGAGGTGACATATGTATGGAGCTCTGGATATCCTGTAAAGGGAGGACTCATGGGGAAGACCACTTTCTATGGCCAAGGTGAAAGATATTGGTGCAATTAGAACCTAGAACTTGGCTCTGAGGAGCCTGGGAGGTGGAAAGAGCTGACATTGATGAAAGTTGGGGTCAGATCACTGAGTGTCTTAGTTACTAGGCTGAGAGTTTGGAGCGCATTCTGAAGTTAGTAGAGACTTATGTGAGTTTGAAGCAGAGCGGTGAGATGGTCAGATTTGATCTTACGGAAGACTGTAGGTACAGGATCATTCGAGGGGTCACGGTGGAGGCAGAGATCTGTAGAGCAGAGCTGTGGCCAGTGAGGACTGAAGCTCAGAAGGTGGAGCCTGAGCTATTAGAAGGTGCAGAGAGGCTCTGAACACAGGCTGCCTACCCAGGAGTGAACTGCCAAGGAATGACTCCACAGATCTAGCTGTGTGGGCTTCTATCATAAACCGACCTGCTTAACTTTGCACTTTTATAACAATGGAAAACAAATTGAAAAGACGATCTGTCTTTAATCAGGAAGCAAAGTCAATACTAAGAATTGATTATTGTCCTGAAATTTTTACCCAAATAATTCCCAGTTTAGGAGTCCTAGGATGATGTAATTGGTTAACATGTTAGTTGCTAAACAAAAGGTTGGAGTTTCGAGTCTACCTAGAAGTACCTTGGTTACCTACATCCTTTGAAAACTCAGCTATTAAAAACCTTACTGAGCACAGTTCTACTCTGACCCACATGGGGTTGCTTTGAATCAGATCCACTCAACAGCAACTGGTCAGTTCTCAGTTTGAGCCTGAGTGCACTCAAGGAAAGAGGCCTGGTGGCACAGTAGTTAAGTTTTCAGCTGCTAACCAAAAGGTCAGTGGTTCCAACCCACTAGCTCCCCGTGGGAGAAGTTGTGATATTCTGCTTCTGTAAAGATTACACCCTTGGCTCCACCCAATCTGTCCACTGCCTGACTCACCCCATAGTCACAGCCCTGACGGGGCCTGCTTTTACTACATCAAGGACAAGCTGAGGTTCTGGAAGACTGGGCTCCAAGCACGGTCATTCAAGGACTTGCTCCTACCATTTCTCTTGCTACAAAATCAGCAAAGAGAGAAAAGGGACTGTCATGAATCCCAAGAAGCAGAGTCCACCAAACCTGAGCAAGCTGCCGCACGAGCCAAGCCATTGGACACCACTACCTGCAAGAATCTCTGGCACTGTGCCTCCACTGTGTGCACCTTCCTTCATGTGAATTCGGATGAGAGTTGCCTCAACACTGACAGCTCAACAATAGTATTTGTGTTGTTTTTTCTGCTTTCTTGCTGCAAAAATAAAATCCTCCTTAAACAAAAAAGATTACAGCCTTGGAAAGCTGTTCTACTGTGGGGCAGTTCTCTGTCACATGAGGTGTCTATGACTCCTAAAGTTCTGTCTTTAAAATCTGCATAGGAAATGCTTATAGCACAGTCCTTGACCTTAGTTAGTTACAAACTCAGTAATTGAAAGCCACTATTCTTTAGGCTCCTGAGGCTTCCTGTGTTTCTAGAACTCTGATTTTTTCCAAAACCCTGATGTACTTGATTCCTGTGTGTTATATGATCCTATCTATCTATCTATCTATCTATCTATCTATCTATCTATCTATCTATCTATCTATCTATCATTTGTTTTTGTATTATTTTTATTCCTTCCCATTCCCAACCCTACCCCACCTCCTCATAGTGCTACTGAAAGCATATTAGAAATTGATCAGACAGTTGAACTTGGAGGCTTAAATCTTACCCAGTAACACAGAAGAGGTATTCTTCTGTGGACAGATGCTTCATCTGGGTAACCAGATGTATACCTTAAAATCTAGGACCCTTTGAGCCAGAGTCTGTTGGGTAAAGTCCAAACATAGGAGGCTTGACATCAACGCCCTTCCCAAGTGATTCTGAAGCACTCTCCTCCTTAAGAATCATTGCCCCCTTCTTAACCAACAGATTGTTATTAATTTGCTTATAAATGAGCTTGAGTTAATTCCTGTAATGACCCAGCACTGCCATCAGGGCCCTTTGGATTCTCTGTTGAAGAAGGGTCAGAGTGAGATCCCTTACATGATTCCAAAAGTGTGTTTTTTGCTCCTCACAAAAGCCACAGAACCCAGTATTGTTTTAAAGTAAATATTTAGTCTTACCACACACACACCACAGGCAGGCCAGCGTGTTTTATTGTCTGCCATCTTTCTCACAGGCCAAGCTGTGTTTGTTTTTCTAGGACAAGCTACTCACAGCCACCTTCTCTGGGTGTTTTTCTACCACTCCTGTTTGTTTTCCCTGGGAATGTGAGAATGGTGATTGATGAGAAGGTCGTTGTGTGGCTCGGACAGGCTCTGAGTGGCTTCCTTGGCCTATATTTTTATAGTTGTGCTCATGACATAAAAACAGCCCTTGGGTTTGCCAGCAAATGAGACCCCTTGCTATGAACTAGCTCTTCAGAGCAAATGTGGTTTTTCTGTGAGCCTGGAAAATACATCCTCAATAACAGTCTTCATGGAATCTGGGTTTTGCTTTTGTTTTTAATTGGATAGACAATATGGATGCCCAAATAGAATGGTTGGCAACCAAGCACAAAATCGAAATAAATAGAAATTTAGCCATTTAAACTTTGTCTTTTTTGCGAGGCGGGGGTAAGTGTAGGGTGGAGATCTAGGGATAAGAGTTACTTGTTTAGATTTCCATGCCCTGACTGACTCGTTTCTTTGTTTATTATGTGAACATCTTCAGTTGACTGGCTTTGGTTTTGCCATGTTCTGTGTAGTAGCAAATTAAGACGTATCTGTTTCCTTCAGAGTTCAGAAGTATGATCTCAATTTTTCGTAGGAAGAAGATGTGTATTCTCTACCACTGAACATTTCAATGACAAGTGGCTTCCTGCCAACTTCTATGGGACTGTTAGGCAAAAGATTCAACAGTTGATCCTAGAAGTAGCTTACCCTCAACTATCCCTGTTTGATAAAGCCTAGTAATTTCCTTAGTTGAAATTGTTCACTGAGCCTCCTCACAGCCCTCACCCTCCTTCATCTCATTCCTGCTCTTCACTATGTGTGCATCATTCATCTTTTCCACTAGAAGTTTACTGTGTGATCAAATCCTACTTCTCCTAAGACTCCTGTGGAGTACCCTCTGCCAGTCTTCTTTCCATCCCTCCTACAGCCCTCTGTGTGTCTATCACCTCTTTCCTGGGACCCCCTCGTGACCACCCTGTTACCGGTCATTTCAAGTAACGTTTCCTCTGATCATTTATTTTGCCCCTTTCTTATTCCCACACTGCTTCCTTTCACTTGCAAGCCCATTCATGTCTATGCTAGGCAATTCCTTACAAGTTTATAGAACATTTTCACCTATATTGGTTCATACAACCAGGAGAAAAAGAGACATTGTCCTCATTTTATAGGTGAAGAAACTGTGCCAGTTTCTTAGATGATTTGCTCAAAATTGTGAATAATCGAAGGAACTCGTATTACAAATGAAGACCTCTAGCTCTAGATCCTCTTCCTTTTCCCTATGCCATTATTGTTTTGGGGTGCTGTTGAGTTCATTCTGACTTAATAGTGCCCCCTTGTGACAGAATAGAACTGCCCCATGGGGTTTTCTAGGTCATAATCTTTACAGCAGATCACGAGATCTTTCTCCCACGGAGCCATTTGGTGGGTTTGAACTGCCAACCTTTTGGTTAGCAGCTGAGCCATTGTACCACCAGGGCTCCTTCATCCTGCACAAGTTTATTGAGTGGTGTTTTTGTATCAGCACGAGGTATAAAAGGTAAGACAGATATGGTTTCAGTTTTCATCAACAGCCCCTCAACACATGGTCCTTCACATTTGCTGCTCAAATGCCTCTAACTCTGGGACAATTCATGATCCCATTTATACAAAGAGAGTTTGGGGGTTAGAATATCTTGACTTACTAAGAAATCTCATAATTGTGTTTCTAAAAATTTCTAACCCCAGCTGTGTGTAAAAAATGCCCTGTTCTTTATTATTAGTTTTAATAATATGATCAGTATCATCATTCAACCAATCACTAACTATTTTATGTCCTAGGCAGAGGCTTAGTGCCAACAATGTTCCTAAAAAGGAGAGTCACAGAGAAGAAGAATGCAAGAAAGGAAACCCCCTACTTGTCAATTCTGAATTTAAAAAATTTTTTCTAAGGTTTTAGTATCTCTAAAAACTGGATGCACCTTTTAACTATCATTGGCGGCATTTTTTCCTTTCTTAAGAAAATATAACAATGGCACATCTGATAATGTATTCTAGAAGACATGTGTATGTGTGGGGGGCAGCTTGGGGAGTGACATCACTCCCAGGGGAAACTGGAAAAGGGTTTTCCAAGGAGGTAGCAGATGGACCTTTCAGTGGCTTTTTATTAACCAGAATTATAACAGGCACAATATGCCAACTACTTTGTTTATTCATTCTATAAATATGCTCACTGCGAATCTTTACTGTGAGCTTGGTGAGCAAATGGTCATCTTGCAGTATAGTGAGAAGAAAGGCGTAAATCAACAGTTATAAGATTACATATATGTTTGGGGGTGGGGTGGGGTCGAGGGGATGTACACCAAAATATTCAGGAATATATAATCATATAAACAACCAAATGATTGTTTGGGTTACACATTCTGTAAGCCTGCCTCCTGGTCGCCAGCTCTCCGTCTCTCTCTTTCCGTGAGTCTGGAGTCCTCAGCTGCTCTCTTTCTCCATGCCATCATCTCTGCCTCTATCTCTGGTGTAGCTGCTTCTCTGGATAGGGTTCTACTTTCTGCTCTTCTCCCTTAATGGTCCTAGGATCCTCTGTTTCTGGACTATAAGATTAACTACTCCCCTCTTTAGACTATGTATCTTTTTAACAGCAGTACCAGAAAGTAAGTATCAGAAGTTCCATGTGCTTGCAAAAGTGAATATGAGGGAGCGTGGTGCTGTAGGATAAGTACTGGACTGAAAGGTCAGTTTGATCCATAAGGTCAGCAGTTCAAACTCAGAAACCCTACACAAGGTCTCTATGAGTTGGAATCGACTGGACGACATTTAACAACAGCAAGCACCAATTCTAGGATTGTCACGGAGGAGGAGCTGAGATCTCTTGAGAGAGATGTGTGAAAATTCATCAGACAAGGAGAGGTGTGTGGCACAAGCATTCCAGGTGCAAGGAGAGGCATTTCCATAGGCCCTAAAGTCAGAAAGGAGTATAGGTGTTGGAGGAAGTGAAGCTAGGGCAACTGAATCCCAAAGAGTGATGGGAATGGGATTCTCTAGAAGGCTGAAGACGTAGATGTAGAAGTCTTTAAGATCCAGCACCGTTTGGACACTCTCATCTTGCAGGGTAATGTAACCGTGGCTGTGTCTTCCTCCTCCAGGCTCACCTTGTGGCAGCCTTTGAACAGAGTCTTGGAAACATGACAATCAGACTCCAGAGTTTGACCATGACAGCTGAGCAAAAGGCAAGATGAAAAGGGTGTTGGGTTTTGTTTTGTTTTTTTCCTGCTTAGAGTTAACAATAAACTAAAAAATAGTATTCGTCTTCATTTCAGATAATTATGTAGATTTTGGTATCCTTCTTAAGTTATTGAAATTTGATTATAAAGCATTCTTACTATATTTATGTGTTCATTTATACTTATTGAAAGTTGATCATCTTCATGTACAGGAAAATTCCTTCATCCCCCCCCCAACTCTCCTTGATTGAAGCTAAGTTGTTCTTGATTCTTTGTATGGAGCAATTTTAGGATTTCATTTCTTTTTTCTTTTTCCCTGTTTCACAGGATTCAGAATTGAATGAGTTAAGAAAAACCATTGAACTGCTTAAGAAACAGAATGCAGCTGCCCAGGCTGCCATTAATGGAGTAATTAACACACCGGAGCTCAACTGCAAAGGTAACGTCCCAGAAACTGCTTTTAGACAGGGCTTTAAACTGTTTCAAACCAGTTCATTCACACCCAACACAACAAAATTGGAACATACCAAAGTTATAAAGTGTATACTGGAGTGGTAACTGGAACAGGAAAAGTGATGGGTCCAAATCCCTGGAATTGGTAACTCAGGAAAAAAAAAAAAAAAAGAATGACCCTTTTCAGGAGCTTGATGATGGAGATTGGATTGGACTGGGGAAAATGATATGGTCAGCAGCTATCTTTGAGCCAGGCACCATTGTTTCCAATTCTGCCGGTCAAGAGATTTGGTTGCTATGCAACACACATGCTGCCCTTGTGTTCTAGGGAGAAGATTACATTTCTAGCAGGGATTCAATCCCTAATTTTTCCTGTTCCACTTTTCATTCTGGTGTAGCCACATGTTAAAATTTGGGTCCGTTCCAGTTTCACTTCTACAGCCAATGTCTAAACAAGGAAGAATCTGTTCAAAGCACCTGCCTGCCGTTAAAAGCTTTCTGCTGACAACACATGATACGACCTCTTAGTCAGTGGTTAGACAAATACTTTTAATCTGGTTCCTTCTGGCCTCGCTGCACACGGCAACCCCAGCTCATCCTTTTATCAGATGTGTATCAACGATGAAAGAAAATATATTTCCATTGGCCAAATGTCAAAATGTTTCACAGCCCTTCACTTAGCTAACACTTTGATATTTTCATATTGATGTTGGGTAAATTGAAATGAGTTCATCTTCTGTTTGTCCAGGAAGATTATTTCTGAGTGAATTACTATGTCCTTGTATATTTTAACTTTTATTCAAGGGAAAAAATCTGAATGTGTGGATGATTAACTCCTACCATAGCAATATTTAGAAACAGCCATTAAGAAATATTAGCCATTACTGTTCCTTCTAAGGAGGAACCTTTTCTGTGTTCTAAACATGATGGTAAAGGTTCCTGGTTCAAACTCAACAGCTGCTCCTCAGTAACCCTATACAGGGTCGCTGTGGGTCAGAATTGACTCAACGGCACTTAAGAACAAAAATAAAACATGACGGTAAGTGTTTAAAACACTGAATTTCCTCATTTCCTTTTGAGTGGGGCTTTCTTTATTTTGTAGGTGAGAACCTAGAACTTTAAATGAAATTTGCCTAAGCAGCAGAGGTGTGACTGGAACCCAGTACTATCTGACTCTACAACCCAAAACCCAAAAATCCACTGTCATTGAGTCCCATCCAAATCATTGCGACCTCACAGTGACCCTACTTGTTGTGATTGTGATTGTTAAGTGCCGTTGAGTCAGTTCCAACTCATAGCAACCTTTCTGAAGAGCAGCTGGTGGGTTTGAACTGCTGAACCCATGGTTCGCAGTCTCTATTTTGTTGTTGTTGTTAGGTGCCGTCGAGTCCGTTCTGATCCATAGCGACACTATATAGGGTTTCCAAGGAGAGGATGGAGAACTTGAACCACTGACCAGCGTATTAGCCCACAGTGCCACACCAGTACTCCTCACCGTTCCTCTAGGTACCCCTAAAAATTAGGCTCTAGGTATAGTTCTGTGCTTGTGAGGAAAACTATTTGTAAACTATTTCTTCATGGATGATGATGTTAGTGTTATACACTATTCAGTAAATGTTGGACCTACTGAAAAAGTGACGATAAAGTAGAAAGGGAACGGGTTAGCAAGGACTGGCCAGGTCGAGTAGAGGGAAAAGAGCATTCTAGACAGAGGGACTAGCTATCATGTGTGAGGGCCCTGTGGTGAGAGGAATTTGATATATTTTCAAGGGGCTGAGAGAAGACTAGTTTGTCAGTAGCCAAGGGGAGAGGAAAAGGACTAACAGCTAAGGTGACTATTCCTACAGTTCAGTATTTTATAGCATTGTAGGGCTTTCAAAGGCTTAAGCAGGAGTCTCTGGGTGGTGTCGTTAAATGCTTGACTACTAGATGCTAGGCTGATGGTTAAGAACTCTTCCTGAGTTGCTGAAGAATGCTGACCTTACAGTCTGCCTCAGAAAGAACACACCTTTGAAAACCCAGTGGAGCACAGTTCTACTCTGCATGGGGTGGCCAAGAGGCAGGATTGAGGTAACAGCAGCTAGCAAGTACAAGGCTTAACAGATGGCTTTAGGAGAATACGCTCTAAGCCTTCCCTGACTTCAGGTTTGCAAAGTGGAGAGAGAGACTTTATTTAATTGAACAAAAGAGCACATAGCGCCCACCTCCTGAAAGATCTTAAAACCAGGTGATCAGAAGGTAATGTCTCACAGGAATATATCCTGTCATCCTTGAAGGTGTGAATTTAAGTTGAATGGTCATTCCCTGGGTCATGGGAATGGGCTTGAGTCAGCAGTTGCTGATCCTCTGCCTCTTGTCTCCAGGAAATAGTACTTCCCAGGCTGCAGACCTCCGCATCCGCAGGCAGCACTCTTCCGACAGCGTCTCCAGCATTAACAGCGCCACTAGCCACTCCAGTGTGGGCAGCAACATAGAGAGTGATTCAAAGAAAAAGAAGAGAAAAAACTGGGTAAGTGTACATCCAAAGACTCTGGTACTGACTGAGTCAGTCTTAGAACTGGCATCCCTGAAGGACCACATATAAAACCTGGGCTAGCCCTTAACTTCAGAACACAGACCTTTGGGAACAGATACAAAGAAATGGTTTATAGATTTTTATGGAAATCGGTGCTGCTGTGCTCAGCCAAACACTGTTGTTGTTGTTAAGTGACATTGTGTTGGTTCTACCTCATATGAACCTGCATAGGGTTTCCAAGGAGCGGCTGATAGTTGTAGTTAGCAGTCCACTACTTCTCTACAGCAGTGCAAAACACTAACATTTATAAAATAACCACCGTCTTACAGTTTTTTGTTTCAATCATAACATTTATTTATCCAGTTACCTAGGATAGCTTCAAACCAGCCTTCTCTAAAAATCATGTGACCCATATCCTATAAATAAAAGGTTTATGACAGAGGCATTGGGTTAATGAGTACTTTAAACTGGGGGTTGTACCTGAAAATGTTGAATGGCATTAATTTCCATAGCAGTATTTTTCCATGGTTCCAAAATCCCAACAAATCACTTGCATTCCTTCATATTGGTGTCTTGGACAGTTTTTCCCATCCCTTCTGATCCATTGTTGTTGTCCTTATCTTCAGTGCAGGGATATCCCAGATTGATCCCGAGTTGACCAGTGTTCAAAGGGTCCCCTTTGTCAGTGTTGACAGAATCGTGTTTCCATAGTAGTTTTAATGTTCTCATTCATTCCATACACGTCTCACTCATTTTATGTTATCTTGGATGGGTGGCAAAGGCCAGTGACAAGAGTTAGCCCAGTGACACTTTTGGTTATTGATGACTTGCATTGGAGACAAGCTAGAAGGCCAAGCATCCTCTCATTATTTTGCTTAATTTTTTTTTTTTTTTTAATTACTAATGGCTTTTAGTCAACTCATCTGCTACAAGTCAACAGGTAGCATTAATTTATGGTTCTGTTTCTAATATATCGTTGATAAATACTGTCTGCTTTGATTATCAATGTGATGAGAGAGAATTATGTTTTGTGAGTCATAGCAGTCTCAAGCTTTCTTTGATTCAAGAAATAAAGCTTGTTTATTTTGCTTTCAGCCACCGTTTGACTCTCAGTGAAATCAGGGAGGATGAATAATTTGTCTCTTCAATTAATCCCAAAGCTTAATTCTCTCTAATCTTCTGTAATCTCCTCTTCCAGCTGGCAGTTCACCAGAGGTAGAGGCAAGGAGTTAGGATGATGGCTTGTATGCCAAGCTTTTGTAGCTCTATGACTACTCTCAGGAAATGGGATCAAAAGTAGAAACTTGAAAAGAAATCGGATCTAGATTCACCCACAAAATAGACAAATAGTTGGTCATTGATGAGACATTTTGAAGAGAGAAAAATCTCATCCATTTTCAGAATGGCTTGTTTTCTGGATTTCTCAACTGCTAAGAAAACCCCCAGAATATATTTTTCAGAAGGAAAAAGAAAAACTTTGAAAAAAGGAAATTAAAATTTCAAAGCCTTTATTCCAAATGAAGCATTTTTTTGTGGTCTAGACAAAGGCATGCCTATTCTCACAGCTTTCAAGAAAGATGTTATTATTACTCTTTAACTCTTTATGTTCTCATTGGAATCTTCAGATCCATCTCATGGTTTGAGGAATTTGTGATATACTAGTTCCTTTTCCCCAATAAATTTAATACATTTCTTAAACACGACTATCCTTTTCTTGAGGACTAAGTGAAATGGCTGGTAGTTCCTGCTTATTATTTTATCTTTTATGTGTACAAGGATAGCAGGAACTCTTAAGTAGGTATGTCTTAACCATGTCAGGACCAATAGCAGTGATGATACCATTGCTTTGAAAAGAAGACATGTTTCCCTCTGGCCTTCCAAAACTTCAGGCATAGACAACAGTCTCATAGAGTGCTAAGAGAAAAGAACAGAGGGTAGACTGAGGAGAGCAAGAAGTGGGGAGTGGCCGTTACTTCCACCAGACAGGGGAAGCCAGATTAATTCTGATTGTAGGAGGCTTCCCAACCCACTGTTTTCTTTCTGTTCATAATGGAGGGACATGCCTCCATTATGCTATTTAAAGTTCCTGCTCCTACCGGAAACCTCTTCTGTGTGTGGTGCTCTTAGCCATGTCATGTCTGAAAAGTCCAAAGCTTTCCCTGTCACTGGCTTTCTCTGTTAAAAATTGTCTTTTTTCCTTCCCCTTCCCCATTTTTTGCTTGCGTTTTCTCTGGCAGGTCAATGAGGTAAGCAAGACTTTAATCTCAGATACCAAGCTAACCCATCCATTGATATGACTAATCTCATCCGCATCCGTCACCATGTCTGAGCACCCTGCTTTGTTGCTGTGTAACCTCATCATCCCTATATCCATCTGCTGAGCCAGGCTCTGTCTTGCTGTTGGCATCTAGTCTTGAACCAGGAGTAGGCATGGAATGTTACCACAGGTCCAGTCCTTTGAGCTGTCCACACCAGATAACTCTTCCTCCTAATGCACTGATTCGAGAGAGCTGTTGAGAGCATTTTCCACTGGTGGGGGGGGGAAATGTAGGCGAATTAATTGCTCTTTTGTCTGCATGTCTCTGTTTTGCCAAGACCTAAGCATGGTTGCAGCCCTACCAGACTGACAGCCTTGTGTATTCAGTTACGCAGCTCCTTCAAGCAAGCTTTTGGAAAGAAGAAATCTCCAAAGTCCGCGTCCTCTCATTCAGACATTGAGGAGATGACAGATTCTTCTTTGCCTTCTTCACCAAAGTTACCGCATAACGGTTCCACGGGTTCCACTCCACTGCTGAGAAATTCTCACTCCAACTCTCTGTAAGTCTGTCTGTTGGGGTAGCCATAGTCAGATGACCCCTCTTGTCCCTAAGAAGTCTCCCAAACAGGAATGACTAGAAGTCTTGTTCTGCCCCTTAAGAACCCCTTATACCTTTTATTTTTAACCCCTTATTTCTTGCTTTAATAGGACAATGTGTCTTCTTTCAATGTTCTAGGGCTAGCGAGACTGGCCTTAGACAAGTTGTTTAACCTCACTTTGTCTCCATTTCTTTATCTGTTAAATTGAAATAATGATCGTGGTCTGCATCTCCTGCCCTAAGGATTGGACAAGGTCAATGGATGTGTAAAAAGATCCAGAGTCATTTGGTGTGAGTAGCTGATGAGTGTTGGCAATTATTGCTAAAATTCTGATTCACCTGAGTAACAAACTCAGAGAGCTTGTATGTGGCTAAGTCAGTCAGAAAGTATTGCTACCAAAGTATAGAAACCTTTATTGAACAAAAATATCAAAATGTGAAGTTTTTCTCAGCATATCCTCCATCTAGGTCTGTGTATTTCTGCAGGTACCACTCCTGTATTGCTAGCCTTTCCCTGAAGAGTTCTACACCCTTGCATTTTACACAATGGTGAAATGGTAGTTTTGGTATCCTTAAATCAAATTGTGTTCCTTTTCAATATTATTTTGAATGTTGGGAACAAAAAGTAGTCTGAAGGGGCAAGATTATGGTGGCTGTATGTAGGGTGGCTGGAGTAAGATTTCCCAGCAGCATTTTCATAGGATAGTCCTTGCAGCCATGGGATAATGAACAAGTGCACTGTCATGATGAGGGAAATTTTCTCAGCACAATTTTCTTGGCCTTTTCTCACCAATGCAGTTTTCAGTTTTCCTAAAACTTCTTCCTGATAGGCCTCTGTGATCATTCTGTTTCATTCAAGAGCTTGATTATCAAGATTATCACTTTGGGATCCCCAAAGAAGCAGACCCCAACCTTCCAAACTCTCTCTGCCTTAAATTAAACTGGCCCAGCAGATCCCCACATACGTCACTGTTTGGAAGGGAACGTTTTTTTTTAAGATACCCTAATGAGACTAACCCAAGAACACGGAGCTCTAGTAGTATAGTGATCACGAATCAGGCTGTGAACCACAAGGTCAGCAGTTCGAAATGACCCGCTGTTACGTGGGACAAAGATGAGGCTTTTATGCTCCCTTAAAGATTTATAGCCTTGGAAACCCTGTACGAGCGTCGCTATGAGTCGGAACCAACTCCATAGCACATGACCAACAACAACGAGACTAACCCAAGAGCGCACTGCCATCGAGTTGATTCTGGCTATTAAGGATTCTGTGTAGGGTTTCTGAGGCTGTAAGTCTTTATGGGAGCAGGCTGCCTCACCCTTCTCCCACACAGTGGCTGGTGGGTTTGAACCTTGCAGTTAGCTGCCCAATGCGTAACTCACAGAGCTGTCATAACTCCTCAGTGAGACGAGGACCAGCATCATATCACTGACAGTACTTGCCTGTCACCACCCACTGAGCAGAGACATGCCGAAACATTTGTTTGTAAAAAACCCATGTGTATATGAGCTGGAACCCTAGTAGCAATACTTTTTGACTTAGCCTCATTACTGCTTTACTCAAAATTTAGTGTCAACTATTTCTGTGAGCACAGAACACTGAAATTAAAAGTTTAAGGAATGAGGACTTTCTCTTTACCTCAAGATTCTTATGTTCATAAAAGGACTCATCACCACAAATTCAAACGCCCCTTAGAAAATTTGGAATGAGTCAACTTGCACAGAGCTCCTCAGTTGGTTTTGTTACGTGAGCCACGCGTCTTTCAGTTGGCATCTGTGTAGCTGTGGTTCTCCTTGGAGAAGTGCTCTCATTCCAGCCATTCTTCCATGATGATTTCCACTCACCACCCAGTGGTCGGTACTCCATCAGATACAGGTAGCCCTGTGCCCTGTCTCAGAACTCAAGACCCAGGTACTAAAGGCAAGAGAAGGTCAGGAATGGCTTGAGATGGCTAAGTATTCTAGCCACCTGCCTGCAGCAGTGGGGAAGGCTCACAGAAGAGACTCAGCTCTGGGGAACATCCTACTTGAACAGAACACTGCTCTAGATGTTCTGACGAGAGGCCAACAGGGATGCTAATCAGAATCCCGCTCCTGAAGAGATGAGCGATAAATCAGGACATGACACAGTATAATTCATTCAACTTCTGAGCTTTAGATCCATACCAGGCACTGCTTACAGCAGTGTACAAGGGTGGTAGGCCCTGCTTTCCAGGGCAGGAGTCAGACCTGATGAAATGAAACCCCTGAATAAACTAGGAAAATCAGATAGTATTAATGGTGAGTGCAGTAGATTACAGTAGTGTGTAAGGGTCCAGACTTTAGACTGGGTGGTGAGAGAAGTAATCTTTCAACTGAGATCTGCCTGACAAGAGGGGCTAATGCGTCAATTGTGGTCAGTAACTCTAGCTGCTGCTACAGACTCTGTCCCAATGTTCCGGGGCTGAACTCCTGATAGTTTGTTTCTGGTTCACTCCAAATCTGGTGCAGCTATTCCTAGTGGGCAGGAGGTGGACTGTGTGGTGATGTGGGCCCGCCAAGTCCTCTGGGCCCATCCTACAGCCAGGGGCGGGGAGGTGCAGAAGGAGATACACAATGCCTCTTTCCACAGTCCACTGACCAGGTCATGCCAGCTGCCGAGCAGCAACATAAGACAAGCCAGGTAAAGGACAAGGCATCGCTCCTTACGACGCTGAGAAACCAGGAGCGAGAACTCTGCTTCCAAGCCATTTTCCCCATAGGGATTGGGTGGGGTGAACTCTTGGCTCCCCAGCCCTTTTCTTACATTCCACAGCATCCATGGACACTGGAGATGTTTGGTTTGGGTCTAGTTCTTCAAAGGGTGGGCAGAGAGCACATATTTATTTCCAACCTTGAAAGATTTGTAAGAATGTGCTAATGTAGAAGTAAGAATGGGTTCAAAGAAGCAACCAAAGGCAGGAGAGGTCTGGGCTTAGAAAAGCCCAGCGCTGTGGGTAAGAGGAATGTCAGCCGTGGGAGGCAGTCATTTCTCACACTGGAGGCACTTAAAATTAGGTAGGATACCAGGAAGATGCTGGAATATAATGCTTGAGACCGAAGGTGATTACTCTTTTCTGCCATATCCTATTTGTCAACAGATGTTATAGAGCATTGCTGAAAGATGCACTAAAGCTTGTCAGAGCTCAAGACACAGGAAAGCATAGAGAATCAATTAAATCTGTCAGTTTCCAGTGCTTTAGGGACTGCCAACTCCAGGAGACACCAGGCTCCCGGTGACATATGGTTACTGCTGACCATGCCTCATGGGTATGGACCAGGGGCCGGTGGGGTCCAGAAGAGGGCCCTCAGGGCTGGTCTTGTCAGTAGTGCCCCTCTTCCCCTAGTATCTCCGAGTGCATGGACAGTGAAGCAGAGACCGTCATGCAGCTGCGAAATGAGCTGAGAGACAAGGAGATGAAGCTCACAGACATCCGCCTGGAAGCCCTCAGCTCTGCTCACCAGCTTGACCAGCTCCGGGAGGCCATGAACAGGATGCAGGTGGGAACCTGGGAGCATGTGCTCCCCACCAAGCCCAAGGGTCACCTTGGAATCTGGTGACAGCCCTGCTGCTCCACAGCCTCTGTCTCTCTTTCTCTTTGCATTGTCTTTTTTTTTTTTTTTTTAATGTTTTATTGTGAATTATCTGATAGTTTACATGAGAGCACCTCAGTTCCATATTCATCCCATTGTATATCATTACATTGCCATGGTTCCAATCCCCTCCATGCATCGTCTTCCGACCAAAGGGCATATCCTAGAAGCCCGTGCTCTACACTGCCCCCTTCCCCCTCAGTCTTTGGCCCACAGTTCCTCTCCCTCTCTGGATCCAAAGTCCCCAGCCACTTCATCCCTCCATGTCATCATCTCTGTCTCCATCTCAGGCATCCCCGGTTCTCTGGGTGGGGTCCCGTTCTCTTTGCATTCTCTTTTAAGTTTCAAAGTAACGTATTATATATGTAGAAATATTCACAGCATATCTTTAAGTAAAAAGTCAAGCAGAAAAAACCAACAACATACATATATTAATTCTAGTTTTGCACAGGGAAAAAATGCCCAAAATTAAAGCCAAATATTCAGGAAGGTTTTCTGGATTCAAAGACTAATCTTTTGAAAGCTTAAGAGCTTTATACCTCAGTGGTTTGAAATTCTCCAGGGCTCTCCCAGTGCCTTCTGCAAGCAATCTGGTCTCCTTTGACCTCCAAGCCTTCTACTGGTACCTTTCCACTCTTAAGCCCTCTCTCTCTCCTCATCCAGGTTCTATTCACCAGCCACAGAGAGCCATGAATGATTCTCTTTCCATGTCCTGGGCAGCCCTATTTCATAGTACTTTCTCCACTGGGAGTACCCTCTGCAGACCCAAATAGGATCTTTCTCTCAAGAAGTCCAGTGCTGCTGTATCTTCCCAGACCTTCAACTGGCAATGTTAATGCTTTCATCTGAGTTCCTGCAGATTTGTTCTTAGCACCCCTCCCACCTTCTGCCATGAATTGAAGGCACTGAAGATCTTCTGAGTTATTCATCTTTGTCTACCTTTCTATGAGCTAGCACCAGTACCTTGCACATAGTAGGTGCTTCATAAATATTCATCAAATGAAAGATTACTGAAGAGCAGCATTTCTCAGAGAAGGGTCCCTGGAACATTGATTCCATGAGAGATTTCGGAAGGAGAGGTGCTTGCCAAATCCATTTGGGAAGAGCCACACACTACGTGGCGCACTTAGAGATTCTAACACCAAGCCATTCATTAATACCGCTGAGAAGTCCTGCAGTAAAACAAAAACAAAAAATCTGTCAAATCCACACTTCCCAAACTTTGAGATTATAAAATTTTGTTATTGATCACTCAGACAACAAAGTTTAGGGAATACTGCTTGGGTCTTTTCAAAGGCCTCTTCTCTATGGGGTGGACCTGCTCCTGCAGACCTGACTTGTGTGTACAGCGGAGAGAGACTTAATCCCTTCATTCATGTTGCACCCACCCAGTAAGTGCGTGTCTCCGTGACTCTTTGCAGAGTGAAATAGAGAAGCTGAAAGCTGAGAATGACCGGCTGAAGTCAGAGTCTCAAGGCAGCGGCTGCAGTCGGGCTCCCTCCCAGGTGTCCATCTCTGCCTCCCCTAGGCAGTCCCTGGGCCTCTCCCAGCACAGCCTCAACCTCACGGAGTCAACCAGCTTGGGTGAGTGGTGCCACAGGGCTGGGGACAGGACCGGGCCTGCAGCTGGCAGTCTGGTCCCCAAGAGAGAGCCCCAGTCTAAGGAGATCAACAGATGAAATGGAGAGGCAGCAGGCGTGCGTGCACTTGGGGTGTGTGTGTCTGTCTGGGTGTGTGTCTGCTATCAACATGAGCCTAGCCGTTAGACCGCTATCATGCTTCGCTCCAGCGCCCCAGTTTCTCCAAGCCTTGAGTTTGGACCCTCTCGCCCACCATGCTGCTGAGTTCCGTTTGATCCATTTTAAAAGGCTGACGTGCAAGCTGAATGCTGCATACAAACCCCATACTCGCAGGTCCCAGTTGGGGCAGTGGCTTGATCCATGGCCTTCAGGATGGACCCCAGGCTGGCTCAGTAACCACTGAACATGACCAGGGTTTTCTTTGTAAGCATATCGAGGCTGACGCTTTTATTTTTCTCATGATGCTGCTGTCACTGTTGTTTTGGTCGAGTCTCTCCCTCCTCGCATCGGCAGCCTGCTGGTTCCTTGGTTGGCCCACCATTGGTTTCTGTGGTTGCATTCTCCATGCTGCTGTCTCCTCCTCCCTTTCCACCACCTCCCCTCCCTGCACCCCGACACCTGGTTTGTCCCGCTGCTGTGTGCCCACAGGCAGCGGGGGTGTCCGGAAGCTGGCTTTGCTGTCCCCATGTGCCTAAGGCTGTTGATGTTTTCCATTCGCAGACATGTTGCTGGATGACACTGGTGAATGCCCGGCTCGGAAGGAAGGAGGCAGGCATGTTAAGATAGTTGTCAGCTTTCAGGAGCAAATGAAGTGGAAGGAGGTTAGTTGGATCCCTCTCCCTGCTCTGCCTGCCCCTCCCCCAGGGAGCAATACCTAGTTTAGCGATCTAATCGTAAACCTATCACCTCAGAGCCTAAGGTGATTGGAAACACTACTAACACTTTTCTTAACTAAGCATAACCCTCAGCGATCCATTCCCTTTTCTCTCACGTTTGGAAAGTCTAATAAACGGTACTAAAAATGGTCCCACATTGCATTTCATGTCATTAACTCAATATTAACGTTAGACAGAAGCGGCTTTTCTGAATTTAATATATTCCCAGAGACATCAAAGGCAGCTAAGCGCATTTAGCACAGAAGACAGCTGACCACAAGTACCAGTTTTAGCAGGCCCTCCGACTGTGGGAGAAATAGACCCAGAAACAAGACCACCAAGACATGGATGCTCCAATGGTTTCTTACTCACTCATCTGAGTTTTCTGAGTGTAGTTTCTGGTCTCTTCCAGCATCTGGGAGGTTCCATTGTTGTTTTTGTTAAGTGCCATCCAGTCGGTTCCGACCCTTAGCAACCCTGTTATATAGGGTTTCCGAGGAGCAGCTGATGACCTTGAATTGCCGATCTTGCTGTCCAAACTGACTTTGCAGTCCAGCACCTTAGCCCACAGCACCACACCAAGACTCCCTGGGAGGCTGTACCAGTGATTTTCTTAGACTGGGGTGAAGGAAGGGTTGACAATGAAAGTTGACTTTTAAGCAGTGATTAAATCCAAATAATGTTGTACATTACCATCCAATAAGTCAGTAAAGGAAGGAGCTCTGATAGCGTAGTGGTTATAAGTTGGCCTGCTAACCTTAAGGTCACCAGTTCGAAACTACCAGCCGTTCTGCGGGAGAAAAATGAGGCTTTCTGCTCGCATAAAGATTTTCAGCCTCAGAAACCCTATGCAGGGTGGCTCTGAGTCAGAACCGACTTGATGGCACACCACCACCAAGTAAGTAAAGAGTCCTGGTGTGGCACTGCAGGGTAGCACGTTGGACCACAAGGTCAGTTTGACCTGCAAGGTCGGCAGTTCAAACCGACCAGCTGTTCCTTGGAAACAGAATCGCTATGAGTCAGAACCGACTCCACAGTACTTAACAACCCACAGCACTTAACAACAACAAATGAGTAAAGACCCCGAGTCACTGTTTCAGGCCCACCAAATTTTGTTAGTTACATAGTATATAATAACCAGTACGCTATTATATTTTTGGACAGCTAAGGGATCCAGCCAACCAACAAACAAATCAGTTACCAAGGAGTGGATTCCAACTCATGTCCACCCCATGTGAGTCCGAGTAGGGCTGTGCTCCCTAGGATTCTCAGTGCCTTCCATGTCACCTCTGAACTAAACCACCAGGGTTTTTGGTTAGCAACTGAGCATGTTAATCATATGTACCCAGGGACTCCAGAGGGTCCACAATACCAAAAACCAAACCAAACCCGTTACCTTTGGGTCTATTCCAACTCATAGCAGGACAGAATAGAACTGCCCCTTACAGTTTCCTAGGTTGTAAACTTGGAAAGCTGACAAGATAGCTACCGCAGCTAATGAGTTCCAACTGCTAACCTTTAGGTAGGCACCTGAGCGCTTAACCATGGCACCACCAGGCTCTTTAGGGGACCCACAGTACCCACTAAAACAGAGCGTCTACAGCCAGACTTTCCTCTGTTCCGAGATTCCACTCCCCAATGCATTCTGTAGGCTCACTAAAGGGAACAAGTCCAGAATTTTGGAGCTGCCAAAGTTTTTGAATCATCTAGCCTAGAAATTGCATAGAGAATACAGTGAGGGACTAGCAAGGTGAAAATTGATTCTCCTAGTTCAGGTAAATGTCCATGATACCACTGATACAAGTTTTATTATAATGGTCAATACAGACAGATAGAGCTAAACATTCTGCCAAAGTTTACATGTCACTCTCAAAAACTGTACTATTTTGGATTACCACAGCGTCCAGATGAAATATTGCAATTGAGAAATCCAAGACCCATACATTACTTACTTGATTGAGCTACAAGGCAAGTGGTAGGACCAGGTCATCAGTCTGTAAGATGCTGCTCTTTTCTCTGCTGATTTTGCTTAACAGCCAGATGCCATTCACCCTCAATTTCCTAAATCTATAGCCTTAGGAGTCCTGGTGTGGCACTGAATTGCTAATCACAGTGTCAGCAGTTCAAACCCACCAGCTGCTCCTCAGAAATAACGTTAGAGTCACAACTGAATCTATGGCACTTAACAACAACATGAGCATGTTAGATAGTTAAAAACCCAGCTGAATTAAATCTTCTATTAGTTTGGCTTTTATCGGTGTCCTTTGTTAGCTTCCATTATGCAGAGCTCTATAGGCATGGCGCTGTAGGATTAGCACTGGACTGCAAACCACAAGGTCGGCAGTTCAAGCCCCCCAGCTGCTCCTTGGAATCCCTAAACTGGATTAATATAAGTTAGAATCAACTCAAAGTTACTTAACAATAACAACACCAGCAGAAATGTAAAATAAGGGGGAAAAAGATGATTGGGGGTAAACTTCTAAGTTGTACTCATTTTTTAAATTGAATGTGTTTTTAACTTTTAAAAAGAAAAAAAGGGCAATATATGTTATTTAAAAGAAAATAAAAGAAAAGGTAGAAATATATTCTGCCCTAAAGGAGTTTTACAACCTATAGGGAGATATACTTACATACATAAGACAGAAATACCTAAAAATAAACATAAAAGAATACAGACTAGATCATTCGTTATATAAGCTGTGGGCAGAACTCTGGGAGCCATTGTAAGCTCTGAACCTGATGGGGTTAATCTTTGAAGGCTTCCAGGGGAAGGTGAGTTTGTGAGCAAGTTTTGCAAAGGGTGAGATGGCAGATAGGCAAGGTGATGCATATTCTAGGTAGAAGAAAGTGATCCACTCACTGTGTCAGGTATCCACTTAGTGGAATGTTCCAGATTCCAGAGAAGAGACCCTCTCTTCCTGTCCCTCAGGTTGCTGTTTCAGCAGTAGGAAACTTAGAATAGGAGAAGGTTTTAAGGCTGTTGTATTCCATCTAAGTTATACCCGGCGTTAAAACAAGAGGGCTTTTATTCCCCTCTCAAAGCACTGGTGGAATGGTGCAATTCTAAAGCAATCTTAAGACCTCTGCTAAACTGTGTCCAGAAAGATCCACCTGTTTTTCACCTACTTACATTTCCTTACCCTTAGGATTCCAGACCACATCTCTTTCTTATTGGCTGCATTGGCGTTAGTGGCAAGACGAAGTGGGATGTACTCGATGGGGTGGTTAGACGGCTGTTCAAAGTAAGTATTTCAAGAAAACAGCTCTGATTCCATAGCTGACCCTGGGGACTTGGACTTAGGAAAGCAAAGGACAGTGTGAGCCTGAATGTAGCCAGTTTTCAGGTCCTGTCCCCTATTCTGTTGCCTCGTGCTGGGGAAACTTGTCCCCTGGCCTTCAAGTGAGCTGAAGGATGATGATGGGTAAGTACAGGCAGATGACTGGCCAAACTCTTCCTCTGTCTGTCCTTTGTAATGTGTGTTATTTCCTCTGCCTAGCACAACTATTTAAACTGTTCACACTTTGCACAGTCTCTTTTTGCTTTGGAATTGGAGCCTATTGAATATGCTTTTGAGTATGTGACCTGTGACTGGATCTACGACATAGTTTCCATCCTTCATTTCTGGGCGATTTAGTCAGACTAGGTCAGCATTTAAGAAGGTCTGTTTTTTGCTTCAAATGACATTAGTGTCTGATCAGTGACCAGTGTCAAGGATGTTGGCATACTTGTCTATTCTCTCTGATCAAATCATTGGGTTAGGTGTAGCCACAGGAGAAACAAGGAGGGGAACAACGTTTAACTGGAAGATGATTTTGGAAGATGTTTTTGGTACATTTTATGTAGCATCCTAAAGTAAATCTATGGAGCCCTGGTAGTGGATTACAAACAGGGCTGTTAACCACAAGGTCAACAGTTCAAAGGAGACTTTCTGCTCCCGAAAGATTTCTAACTCAGAAATGCTCTACGGGCATTTCGCTATGAATCAGAAACAGCTCAGTGGCACACATCACCGGCATCACTAGAGTCAGTCCATAATCACGAGTGTTCATTAATCATCTCTCCTGAGTAATAACAACCCACACTTACTATGCCAGAAACTGTGGGAAGCCCTTTACTTACGATGTTACCACAGCTCACCTCCATGTCTGGAAGGAAGATCTTGTTTTCCCACTTGCAGGTGAGAAGAGTTGTGGTTCAGGTTAAGTCACTTACCTAAGGTCATGGATCTAGAACTTGATCCTGTAGGTCTAGCTGAATGGATCTGACTTCAAAACCCGATATAACAAGCGCACTATGGTCTCTCTGGCATCTCAATCCAAATGGCTTTACATAGAATAAATTCTGTTCTTTGGCCAAAGATTATCCCTTGTCTTGATGGGTCTGTCTGTGGGAATGTAACCAGGCAAGAGATGCGAGTGGCAGACCAGTTGAGTTCTACAGGCCCCAGAATGATATATCTGCTCACAATCAGTTGGGACATCCTTGGATTCAAAAGGCATCAGTTGAGTCTAAAAACAGTTTCTGGGGCATCACGGTACACGAGGAACCAAGACTGTCAAAAGCAGAAGCCTGTTATTGGTTTCCAGCTCATACTCCATAGACTTTAGTTCTCAGTTCAGTAAAACCTCTTGATCACTTAAGAGAGAATTGCTTCCAAAGTAAACACACATTTTCCTTTGTAAAGATCCAGGGCTACTTTTCTCTAACAGCCCTGGGTTTTGCTGTCTTTACCATCACTATGATTTTTGCCTTGAGCCAGGAGAAAGGGCTAGTAGAGAGATTTCTTGTCAGAATTACATTTTCCTGAATTTTCCAGCACCATTTATAGGCACTGATGTCTTTAAGACTCCAGCTAAACGTTTCCGTGCTATGTTCATACAGACTAAACGTTCACAGTCCTGTTGGAGTTGGTTTTTTTTTCTCCACTAACCAAATAAATCTACACTTTAAGAGGCCTATGATACTAGGGCATTTTCCCCATTGAAAACCGGCTCTTTTCTCCTTCATTCCACAGCACGATTTCAACTCAGACATCATCCCAGAGAGAAGAGATGACAATCATAAATCACCCAGTGAAAACATGAGTCATGGGCAGACTTGAGCCACACATCTTTGATGGGGTTTTCTTTTTTCCAGGAATACATCATTCACGTTGACCCAGTGAGTCAGCTCGGGCTGAATTCCGACAGTGTTCTCGGCTACAGCATTGGAGACATCAAGCGTAGCAACACTTCCGAAACACCAGAGCTACTCCCCTGTGGCTACCTGGTGGGCGAGAACACGACCATCTCTGTTACCGTCAAAGGTAATGTGGCTGGTTGCATTCACACTTTCAGGAACCGCAGTTTTTGTTTTGTGACTTGGAATAGGAAATTGTGACCATTTTATGTTTGTGCAGATGTATATGGGCTTTTCTTTTATCCCATCATCAGCCACAAGTCCTGGTGGGTGCTGTGGGTTAATGCGCTAGACTGCAAAGCCATCTGAACTGCAAGGTTGGTGGTTCAAGCTCACCAGCTGCTCCTTGGAAACCCTATACAGGGTTGCTATGGGTCAAAACTGACTCAACAGCACTTCACAACAAGAAGAAAGCTGAACCATTTGAGTTTTTCAACCATGGTTGAAACAAAGGATTTTTAGTTTATTGCTCAAATGATCTTACCAAGATCCTATTAGCCTAGGACTCTGAGATGGCAATGGACCCATAACAACCCGGATAAATGGGCTTTCAGCTCTCTCGTGCTTTACCAATACCAATTCGTTGCTCTTGTTTAATCCTGCAGATAGGAAAGTCAGGATTTAGCTTAGGCTCCAGAAGACCTGATGGAACTCTGATGAAACTGCTGAGGTTCTTGCCCATGCATGATGCCTCTGAAGCTTCCGATTGCCTCACGACCCAGAGATGTTAAGTCCCGGGTATTCCATGGGACTCAAGTTCCACCAAGTTCCCTATGGGGAAAACAGACCTCATGGCCAAATAAGTTTGGGGAACTGCATCTTTATCCCCATTAGGATTGGGGGCCACCGGGGCAGGAATGTACTGGTATATGAAAGACAGACTGATCTGTGCCATTTAAAAGGCAGTTTCATCCAATTTGCTTTCTACCTATATTTCATGAACCACCTGAGACGTATACTTCAATAAGCATTGAACTAGGCTCAGCCGTCCAACTGTCCTGCTTCTTTGCCCACTTCTCTGTAAGGCATTGGTCTGGATGGAGGGGTTGGCAGTGAAGTTTTTGAGTTGTTTGAATGCAAATGTGTTCTGGGTGGTGGGTGTTTTGAAAAGCAGAAGCCAGTGTACACCTCCAAGTTACCTGTTAGCAGGATTCAAGACCCTCACTCTGTTGGTGAGAAATGAATGGTACATTTACTCTCGAGCCTTAAACAGCTGATCAGACTATTTGTTTTTAAATAAAAAATCATTGCTGGCAAGTCTTATCAGTCTCATGGCAACCCCATATGGTACAGAATAGAAGTGTTCCGTAAGGTTTGTAATCTTAACGCAGGTAGATTGCCAGACCTTTCTTCTGGGTGGGTTCAAACCACCAACCTTTACGTTAGTTGATGTTGTCGTTAAGTGCCTTCGAATCAGCTTCAACTCACAGCGACCCTGTACAGGGATTCCAAGGAGCGACTGGTGAGTTTGACCCACCAATCATGTGGGTAGCAGTCCAGTGCTTATCCTATTGTGCCACATTGTTGTTGTTAAGTGCCATCGAGTCAGTTCCGACCCATAGCTACCCTGGATAGGGTTTCCGAGGAGCAGCTGGTGAGCTTGAACTGCCAACCTTGCAGTTCAAACAGCTTTGCAGTCTGGCACATTAACCCATAGCACCACAACAGGACTCCACTGTGCCACATAGGGACCTCCTATTAAAATAGCAAGTGAAGTTTCACAGGTCTGTCCTGGAGCTACAGGTGATAGAAATCAACTCAAAAGTAGCATTAGCGCAAAAAGGAATTGATAGACTTACATACATGGGGAGCCCAGGAGTAGGCTTCAAGACCCTGCATCCAGATGCTCAGTGTCATCAGAACTAGACTTACCTCAGCTCTGCTCATCACTGTTTTGCTGATTCTTTGATCTCTTGCACATGGTTGTTGGAATGTTATTAGCTTAGGAGTCCTTTTAACTTAGGAACCTAAAAGAAAGAGTCTGTTTCTGGAAACATGTCAGAGACTTCCTAGATGTGACTCTCGTTCACTGTGAGTCAGATACCACCTGAATCAGTCATTGTGGCTAGGGAGTGGCTTTTGGCTAACTGGTCACAGCCCACCCCTGTGGGTGGATGAAGGTGCTGAGTCAGGTCTATTGAACATCTGGTATGGACTTCGCATAACAAAAAGTTTAACCACAAGGGGAAGGAGAAAGGGGATACCAAGCTGTCAAAAACATTTGTCCACCACAAGAACCCTTTGAGGGGAGCCTTTTAAGTAACACACTCCAATTGCATTTTATCTGTGTGATCCAGTATGGGTGGTGAACTTTCTGGTTTAAAAGTGAACATGTGAGTACGAGGTTGAAAGGGTGACATATGGCTGAGACCAGACCAGACCTCTGTAGAAACAGTAGACCTTGTCACCCCACCCCAGAGCTGCCAGCTCGGTTGCCTTTGTCAGCTCATCAAGTTTTAACATCTCGAGGGTTTATTTTTAAATGCTACCTAACTGTTCTATTTTCTTCTGCTGCTTGAAACATCTGCTTTCAAGGCACTAAAAAGTACCCAATAATGTTTGGGGGGGTTTTGTTTGTTTGTTTACAGTTTCACAGGTGAATTTATTTAAAACTTAACGATTGGATTACAACTTAATCTATTCTAGAATACTGTGAAATCAGAACCATTTTCTAATTTTCAAGGAACACACATAATGCTCATACAAAAAGTGTTAGCATTTTGCTAAGGAAAACAGAAGAAAATGAAACTCCATTTAGATCTTCCAAAGGAATGTTAGTTCAAAGATTCAGAAAAATTATGAACAAAGACAGTGTATTTGCTTTAGTACTCAAGAATTGGAGCCAGAAGAGATGTGTGAGCTGCACACTACCATTTCGGTGGTACCTAGGGAGAGGGAGTGTTCTAAGTGAGTGTGTCTACAAAGCAGATGACAAGAACGACAACATGTGTGCAGGGAAATGCCCCCAGAGCTCTACACTGGGTATCAAGGTTTGCGCTTACTGTGTGCCATCAAGTCTGTTCTGACTCAGAGCAACCCTAGAGGACACAGTAGAACTGCTCCATAGGGTTCCCAAGACTGTGAACCTTTACAGGACAGATTGCCAGGGCTTGTCTCTTGCAGAGGCAGCTCGTGAATTTGAACTGCAAACCTTTCAGTTAACTGTTGAGCACTTCACCAGACTACCAGGGCTCTTAATGTTGAGGTTAGTACCAGGAAAATCTTAGACCATTTGAGGATAAAGCACGTAAACACATTAGGGCATTCCAAAAGTATATGGAAGGAAGCTGCTGTCATGAAACAGAATAGGTGCCCTTCCATTTACTTTTCACTTACAAAAATTGGTTTTCTTGGAGTTAAGTTTTAACAGAATTAATTACTTTCCGTTCTGGACAACTAATCTTGAATGTTGCTTCTCTGGGGGATGAGATCAAGAAATAGTCTTTGTAAAAGCCAACAAGCCTGATTAATGAAATTGTTCCAAGTGGGAAGAGGGAAAGATTATTTCGATTTGGTATTTGAGGATCAGATCTCAATATGTACCACATCCTGTGTTCCAACTCAATTTGTACTGAATTATAGCCAATCTTTGTGGGGGCAGAAAACCTTATCTTCTCCCACTACGACATCCCCAAATCAAATGATGCCACCTTGCTTTTCTCTATGTTTTAAAGATAAAAAGCATCATCTTCATGATGCATCCATCTGAGTATGGGTAGCATGGTCCGAGGTATGCAGGCAAGAGCAGGGTGAAAAAGCAGCTAGTCTTGAAGGCCTGACCTCACACAATGTGGACAAGACTCAGAGTTGGTTGGGGCAGATAGCATTGGTTCATTATAATGAACCCAGACAGATAAGTAGAAGTGAGTCGTAGGAATTCTATAGAGGGCAGTTGAAAACTGAGGGCCCAGATAATAGTAGAAGTGAGTTCAAAGCTGGGAAGGTTGACCATGGCTGGATCTGGAAGAATGTTGTTGTTAAGTGCTGTTGAGTCAAGTCCGACTCATAGTGGCCTTGTTTCCAAGGAGCGGCCGGTAGGTTTGAACTGCCAGCCTCAAGATTAGCAGTATAGTGCTTATCTTACTGCACCACACCAGAACTCCTAGAAGCACAGAGTGCTTATGAAAAGGGATTTGACTTTGTTAAATAGTATTGGTTTGTTCTCAGCCACCTGGGTACCTGGGTAGGCAGAGTCTCAGGTGAGTGGAATGCCAGGTCTTGGCAGTCCCCATTAGCTGCCATTTTTGCAGGGTTTCAAAGACTTCCTTTCCCTCTCAAATGCAGGGCTCCCAGAAAATAGCCTGGACTCTCTGGTGTTCGAGTCCCTGATCCCCAAACCCATCCTGCAGCGCTATGTCTCCCTGCTGATAGAGCATCGGCGTATAATCCTGTCAGGCCCCAGCGGCACTGGGAAGACCTATCTGGCCAACCGGCTGTCAGAATACATGGTGCTTCGAGAGGGACGGGAGTTGACGGACGGGCTCATTGCCACCTTCAACGTGGACCATAAGTCCAGCAAGGTAAGGAGGTCATTCTGAGCCTGCTGCTCAGCCTGGGTTCATTTTTGGACCCGTTTAAAACTGTTGAGATGGACTGACACAGTGGCCGTGACAATGGCTGAAACATAGGAAAGATTGTGAGGCTGGTGCAGGAGAGGGCAGTGTTTTCTTCTGCTGGACATGGGGTAGCATGAGTTGGAACTGACTCAACATCACCTAACAACAGCAGAACAGTTGCCACCATTGCTGTCCTGGTGGGAAAGAGGCATTTCCCGTAAGCTCTTCTTTTGTGGTTATTAAAAATCAGGTGAAGGAGGTCAGAACAGACGTGGCAGAAAGCCACGCTTTGACTCACATTCTCCCCACAGGAAGTTCCATCTGGGGTTAGGTGGATATACTTCATTTACTGCTGCCCACTGTTAGCTAAGCATGATGCTCAGTGCTAATGCTTAGTAAAACACCCCAGATCGAGTCTCCAAGGTGTGTGCCTACTAAGTTCCATTATTTTTTCAAACTAAAGCCACCTTTTGTGGTGACAAGAACAGTAATAGAAGCTCACATTTACGGACTCCTTGCCACTGACTAGCAAACTGGCCTTCTCACAGATACGCCTTCACGGGAATAGTTGTTTCTATCCCCATTTCATAGAGACTCAAGCTAAGGCTGAAAGCAGATTGACCATGTGCCACTCAGATGGTGGTACACAGCGGAATTGGACCTGAAGCCTACGTCTTGCACTCTAGAGCCAACAAATAGGCTCAGCCTTGCTTCTCAGTAACCAACAGAGTACCATCAAGAGCGATGAAATGTTTTATCAAACCTGCTCCTTCCGTCCCCCCACGGAGGCTCATTGTGTGGCTGGCCCTGTGCCAAGGGGCCAGAGAGCCAAAAATGAATTGGAAATGGTTCCCCTGCTGTAGATTCCCATTCTGGGTTGTGTGGGGCAGGAATTGACACCATAAACAGCTTCCCCAACTGGTTTATTGTTTTGCCTTTCTCTTTTTACTATTATGGTGAAATTTCATACAGACACTAGCAACTTCCACATTTATAATTTAGTGACACTGATTACATTTTTTTAAAAATATTTTATTGTGAATTATATGATAGTTTACATAGGGGAACTTTAGTTTTACACTGATTACATTTTCATGCTGTACCACCATTATCCCTATCTTCTTCCAAACATTACACCACTTTTGACATAAACTCAGCACTCCCTAAACAAAAATTGTCTTCTTTTACTCCCTCTACCCTCCCTTGTAACTGTTAATAATGTTTGGTTTCTAAATATAAGTATTTGCTTATTTCATATACAAGTGAGTTCATACAGCACTTGTTCTTTTGTGACTAACTTATTTTGCTTGGCATAATGTTTTCAGAGTTCCTCCATGCTGTGACTTGCATCCGAATTTCATTTCTCTTTATGTCTGCTCCTATTCCATTGTATCTCTGTACCATATTTTGTTTACCCATTCATCTGCTCATGGACATTTTGGTGGTTCTGCCTTTTGGCTATTGTGAAAAGTGTTAAAATGAATATTGGTCCCGAATGATGTTGATGCGTGGGCAGACCAAAGGAGAAGTGGTCAGTCTGAGTGAAGGAGGGTAAGCTCTGGAGTCTCAGGGAGTCAGGAGTCCGTTCTTGTCAGGTGCTTGAGGTGGTGAGTCCTGGGTGAAGAGGCTGAAGGATGAGGGATTACCAGTCACTTAAGGAATCAGGCTATCGCTGTGGCCAGCAAACCACATTTTACTTAAAAGGGAGGCCTAGGGGGTTTTTCTTTGTTAGAGGTTGTGGAAACGTCACTATCTGAGCTACCAGGCTGGCATCTGGGGCCACCAGGCACCCAAGTCTGAATGCCCCTCTGGTGCCTACCACCTGTGCAGTCGCAGGCCAGTTACCTGACTGTGGGTGCCTCAGCTTCCCTGTCTATGAAATGGAGCTAACACCTTATGTGGTGACTGTAGGATGATATAACTAGTAGTTCAAAGGGGCTTTAAAAAGTTGTTGGGATAATGGAGTTTTTCCATGAGCTTTTTGAAGGTCCCTCATATATATAACTGATATATGGACTCCTCACATACGACCCTCATATATGGACTCCTGGTGTGGCTCTGTAGGATAAGCACTCAACCTCAAGGTCAGTTTGAACCACAGCGTCAGCGGTTCAAACTCAGCAGCTGCTCCTCAGAAACCCTATGGGGTGGAATCAACTAGATGGCACTTGCCCAACAGCAACAATAATGTATACATAAGGCGCTTAGACCAGATAATGCCAGCTGTGATGCTCCTGCTACTGAGACTATCGGGCAGGCGTTCCAGATGAGGACCGGGAAGCCCAGCATTTCAACCTCCTCTCCTGTTGTACCATTCACCGTCCTCATCCTTTCAGGACACGCATCCTCCCTGCATTCCCTTTCCAGCACTCTTCCCATATCTAATGACCCCAAGGCTTTTGATCAAGCCATAGCCCATATCCATTCCCCAAGGCCAAATTCAAAGTCAACTTTCAACAAGACTGTAAGGTCCCCCTCTCCTTTGTGCTGCGCTTTGTCTGTTTACCGCAGCTCACGCCACTCTTATTTGTGTGTGTATCTGGATCCCATGTTTGGTGTTCTCATCCGGGGCTTCCAGGCAGGTACTATGGAGACAAAGATGTGTGAGATGCCTGCCATCAAGCAGTGTACTGGAGAGCTGGTAGGATCAGAAATGTGAACAAACGTGATAGCATTTCTAGAGAAGGGATTGTTGTTGTTAAGTGCCATAGAGTGGGTTCTGACTAATGAACAGTATAGGGAGCAGCTGGTGAATTTGAAATGCCAACCTTGTGGTGCAAACCAACATTGAGATCCAGCACCACACCAGAACTCCCAGAGAAGTGGTGGTGGTGATGGTGATGGTGGTTCTGTGTCATGGAGTCGATTCTGACTCATAGCGAACCTGTATAGGGTTTCCAAGTAGCAGCTGGACTCCTAGAGAAGTGGTGGTGGTTGGTGGTTGTGTGCTGTGGAGTCAGTTCCGACTCATAGCAAACCTATATAGGGTTTCTGAGGCTGTCAGTCTTTATGGGAACAGATAGCTTCATCTTTCTCCCACTAAACAACTAGGAGTTCTGAACTGCTGACCTTGAGGTTAGCAGCCCAACTCGTAACATTACGCTACCAGAGAAGTGGTTGTTGTAGAGAAGTGGTAGAGCCAGGTAAATCCCATGTCTGTGCAATTCCATAGTGTGGTGTGCTTGCTCTGGGCTGAAGGTTTTCTGGTATTGTCCACACTCAGCTTGCATCCCCTCAGTACCAGATCAGTGTCTTGGAGCAGCCAGGCACTCTTACACATTCATGGCACGAGAAGGTAGCGTGAACGCTCTGAGTATTGGGGTGCATTCATCAACTTGTTCTTCCCCTGACTTTCTGGGCTTCTGTAGGAATTGCGCCAGTACCTGTCCAACCTCGCCGATCAGTGCAACAGTGAGAACAACGCTGTGGACATGCCTCTGGTCATCATCCTGGACAACCTACATCACGTCAGCTCCCTGGGCGAGATCTTCAATGGGCTGCTCAACTGCAAGTACCATAAATGGTAAAGACCTCCCAGCCCCTGGGACAGTGTGTTCCTGGGCTCGGTGGTGGGGAAGGCCTAGACATGTAGATGTCACAGGCCTCTGTGAGCACAACGCTGTCTTTTCCTTTACTTCCCCCACAGCCCTTACATCATTGGCACAATGAACCAGGCTACCTCTTCTACTCCCAACCTTCAGCTTCATCACAACTTCAGGTAAGGGATCACTTCTCTTTTCCAATTAGATGATGGGTCACACAGGAGAATAAATCAGAGCAAGCAGATGAACCTTTCTAAATAGCTCTTAGATGCTGGGTACCGTGTTAGCATTTCCCATCTCAACTCAGCTAGTTCGCACAGCAGCCTTGATGTTAAACTGGGAAAGCTGAGGCTCCAAGAATGAAATGGCTTGTCTGAGTCATACAACTTGAGCCAGGTCTGCTTGACTGTGAAGTCCAGTTTCAAGGAGGCAGCTCTGTGTAGGAGCAGGAGGCTGTCTCACCTCCTCTGCACTGCATCAGCAGTATGTCCCTCTGTCCTAAGTGAACATGAGCAATACACCTCTTACCTGAGGTGCTTAGATGCCTTCAGAGCTCCAGCTGCTTTGACTTTGTCTTTCACTCCTGCTGTTAATTTAGTTCCAGCTCATAGTGACCCTTTACAGGGTTTCCAAGAAGTGGCTGGTGGGTTTGAACCGCTGACCTTGTGGTTAGCAGTCCAGTGCTGATCCTACAGCACCATAAGCACATTGTTGAGTGCCATCCAGTCGGTTTCAACTCATAGTCACCCTGTAGAGAGTTTCCGAGGAGCAGCAGGTGGGACTGAACTGCCAACCTTGCAGTTCAAACCAACCTTGCAGTCCCAGAGCTTTATTTCACCATGCCACACCAAGACTCCACACCAGGACTAGTGCTCCGATAATAGAAATACCACAAATGGGTGGCTTTAAGGAACAGAAATGTATTTTCTCACAGTTCAAGAGGCTAGCCCAAATTCAGGGAAAGATTCTCTCTGTCCCCTCTGCGGGAAGATCCTTGCCTCTTTTTAGTTTCTATTCCTAGGTTCCTTGGTGATCTTGTGGTGTTTATCTTCCTCATTACTTTCTTCATGCTTCTTAACTTGCTCTTTCATATTTCAAAAGAGTGTGGCACAGTAGGATCAGCACTGGGCTGAGAACCACCAGATTGGCAGTTCAAACCTACTAGCTGCTCCTTGGAAACCCTATACAGGATCACTGTGATTCGGAACCAACTCAGTGGCACTTGAGTATGGTACTGTAGGATCAGCACTAGATTGTAAACCACAAAGTCTGCTGTTCAAACCCACCAGCTGCACCTCGGAAACCCTGTACAGGGTTTCCAGGAGTCGGAATTGACTCCACAGCACTTAACAACGTGGTAGGGTTACAGTGAATATCTTCTGGGGACACAGTTAACTCCGTAACAGCTCCCCTCTGCTCCCGCACCATTCTGGGGCTTGTTCATGGCTAGGGTGTGGGTCACAGCTTGCTCTGGCATTGCTGTCTTCTCTTGGATCTCATATGATTCCACCATTCTGCCTGCCCCCAACTGTCACCTTAGATGAGGATGAGAAGCATTTTTCTGGGCTGGGGACCCCTGGCTCATTTTGCAATGGCTACTCTGCAGACACCACTGAGGAAATTGATAGAAAGTGGCCTTGAATCACACCTCCAGACCACTCTGCCTGTGGGCAGTCTCAGAATCCAGCTGCACTTCCTGCTAACTTTCCTCCTTCTTCCCATGCCCACAGGCCCTTCTCCCAGGCAAGCCTTCCTTCCCGGAGCTCTCTCTCGCCCCCTGCAGGACAGCCTCTGCTCAGTGGCAGCCACAGTGAGCATTCTAGAATGCAAATCTGGCCATATAATCCGCATGCTTCAAGTGCTCCAGACTCCTTATAGTGACAGTCAAGTGTAAATTTTGGTTACACTGAAATTCTAGACATTTCCCTAAAACTTCCCCCACATTTTTGCTCACGTCTGCAAATGCTACAGCTTGCTCCTCCTGCAGACCCCGCCTCCCACCGCAACACACACACACACACACACACACACACCCACCCCTGCCCCTGCCCTTGCCTTTCCTATGTGGCTGCTCTGTTTAATCTTCTAATCTCAGTCCAGAGTTCCCATCTCCCCAGGCTTCGTCATCATGTCTCATTCCATCATTCACTTGTCTGTCTCCTGCACTAGGCTGTGAGCTCCTTGGGGGCAAGGGACTGTGTCCTGTTGCTTTAGGAGCCACAAAGTTTATTTCAACTCATAGTAATTCCATGTGACAAAGTAAACTATCCCATAGGGTTTTCTAGGCTGTAATGACCCTAATAGCATCGTGGGTTATATGTTGGGCTGCTAACTTCAAGGTCAGCAGTGCGAACCCACCAAGTACTCTGTGGCAGAAAGATGAGGCTTTTTGCTCACATACAGATTTGCTGTTTTTGTTGTTAAGTGCTATTGAGTTGGTTCCAACCCATAGCGACCTTGTATAGGATTTTGGAGAAGCGACTGATGAACTTGAACCACCGACATTGCGGTTCAAACCAACTTTGCAGTCCAGTGCATAACGCGTAACTCCATCCCAGGACCCCCCCATACAGATTTATAGCCTCAGAAATCGCATACAAGGTCACTATGAGTTGGAACTGACTTGTTGGCACACAGCAGCAGCAGTAATCTTTATGGGAACAGATCACCAAGTCTTTCTCCTACAGAGTCATGAGTAGGTTCAAACCACCAACCTTTGAGTTAGCAGCCAGGTGCGTAATCATTGCACCAGCAGGGCTGTGTATTAGCCTTTGCTGGAGCTCTGACAGTGGTTAGGCGCTCTAATGGAGGTCAGTGATTAGGGCTCACATCTAGAGTCAGCCTTGAGTGCGTGCTCTTAGACAAGTTTCATAAAGTGCCTGGGTCTCATCGTTTCCATTTATAGGAGAGGCACAATAAGTGCCTTCCAGTCAGTTCCAACTCACAGTGACCCTGTGTAGGGTTTCCGAGGAGCGGCTGGTGAGTGGTAGTAAGCCCTGTTTTAGTGTCACTGTGCACGCATTCCAGTTCTGATATGCTTCGATGCCTGAAGTCAGCCATCATTTTTATCTCACCATCATTGCTGAGAAAACCTTCCTGACTTCCCCAGGTGGGTGCTCTGTGCCAACCACACAGAGCCCGTGAAAGGCTTTCTTGGCCGCTACTTGAGGAGGAAGCTCATGGAAACAGAAATCAGTGGGCGGGTGCGGAATGCGGAGCTGGTGAAAATCATCGACTGGATTCCCAAGGTCTGGCATCACCTCAACCGCTTCCTGGAGGCTCATAGCTCCTCAGACGTCACCATCGGTAGGTTAGGGGTAGGGTGGGAAGGAGGCTTCCGGAGTCCCAGTTACTGGGGGTGACTGTCCTCAGTCACAAGCCAGCTGGTTACTGGATTGTCCATGAAAGAGACCACCTGCCCCCCCACATCCCAGTGTTTCTGTGTCTCCTGGCCCATCTTCCCTGCCCCATTGTCCAGGACTGAACAACAGAGGAGTCACACGACCAGCCACCCTAAGAGCCCCCTTTGGGATTGGCTTTGCTTTAAAAGTAAAAGTTAGCAACCTTCCTGAAGGCTGGGGATTTAGAAAAGAGAACACCAACAACAAACCCCGTGATAACCGTATTTTAAATGTGGGATTATTTCTCGGCCCTTTCCCTCCATGTGTGTTCGGTGTAGTTGCAGCCGTTGTCTGTGTACAGGATGCCCCTCTTCAGTCTGTATTCTCTCATGAGCACGCCATGTTGCTGCTCAGTGTCTCTGGTTACCAGATTTAAAGGCTGCAGAATCATCAGGGGCAGTTGTAGCACCATTTGTATAACTGTGCCCATTTTCTTAGTCATTTATTGCACTGCCATTTAAACAGAATTGGGTTGACTAATATTGCATAAGTCAGTGTCTCTTTTCTGGATGATTTCCTGGGTACGAGACCCCCAGGGGCAGGAGAAGGAATTCTCCATGTCCTGTTCTGTGTCCCCTCTCAGCAGCTTGTATTTCTGCTGCCAGACCTGCAGTTGTTCAGAGGTTCTAGGGTCCCTCCTTACAGGATGCTCAGGGCGTGGCTTCTCCTAGCAACCCCTCATGTCAGCGTCTGACTTATTTTCATTTTGGCTCCCAGGCCCTCGCCTCTTCCTTTCGTGCCCCATCGATGTGGATGGCTCAAGGGTGTGGTTCACGGACTTGTGGAACTACTCAATTATCCCCTATCTCCTGGAAGCTGTTAGAGAAGGACTCCAGGTGAGACATGTGCCACTGACCGGCTCCCGAAAATCCGAGGGAGGTGTTCTTGTGACCAGATGCAGTGCATTTACCTGGCTGACATGGGGAGACAGCCCCTCATCTGTGAGGTCATCAGAATAATAATAAAAAAAAAACTCATCTGGCTGCCATTCCAGGCTCTGCTAACGGTTAGCTGTGTATCCCCAGGAAGCCATGTAACCTCCTGGTGCCTCGACTTCCTCATCAGTAGAAGGGGGTAGTGATAGCACTCTGCCACACAGAGTTGTTGTCAGGGTTCAGTGGAAATGCAAATGCATAGACAACTACTGTGCATATTACACAGTACTCATATTGACGATTCGATCTGAGCCCTGGATTAGTCATGAACCTAGGGCAAAGACATCTCTTATCTCTATTTTTCGAGGTAAGAAATTGAGACTATAAGGGAATAAGTGACTTGTCCTAAAGTGGAAACTTAAAGGAGCTGGGATTTGAGTCCATGCCTCTGGCTCTGAGTCCAGGCTGTCATCTCAGCCCCACCACATTGACAGTCACTGCTTGACCTCAGGCCTGAGAGGCCACTGGTCGACGACCCTGCCCGGTGGCTGCTACAAAGAAATACTCTCTTCACTTCTCCACCAGCCCAGGGTTTAATGCTGTGTGATGGTCACTAAGTGCCATTGAGTCAGTTTTGATTCATAGTAACCCTGTGTAGGGTTTCCAAGAAGCAGCTGGTGGGTTTGAGCAGCCAGCCACGTGGTTAGCGGTCCAGTGTTTATGCTACAGTGCCACACCTTGCAATAATTTTGTTGAGCCTAGAGGCAGCTGAAGCAGTTCTTGGGCTTCCAGCACTAGCCCTCAGTGATTAGCAGGCTGGATAGATAATCCTCCAGCTAGTTCAGCAGACTGCTTTCTGAGGGTTTCTTTGTTTTCTCAACACTGGGCAAGGGAAGACACAAGAAGGGTTTGTAGGCCCACAGAGGGTGAAGGAGAGGTTTGTACAGATGCTTACATACTTGTGACAATGCTCAGTAATGGCTTCACCCAGAGTCATGTGACTGAGCCTGGAGAATACCCAAGTGCTTAGTATCTGTAATACCTGAGTGCTTTGTGTAGCAGCAAGTTTGCAGAGACATTCAAACAATTAGACTTGAAAAGGAAGATACAGGCATACCTTGGAGAAGTTGCAAGTTTGGTTACAGACCACCACAATAAAGCGAATGTTAGAGTAAACAGGTCACATGAATTTCTTTAGTTTTGCAGTGCATGTAAAAGTTATTTTTATACTATACTGTAGTAAGTATGCAATATGTTTTGAAAAAGTTTGGCATACTGTGAGAATTACAAAACCATGACACAGAGACACAAAGTGAGTACATGTTGTTGGATAAGTGGCCCCGATAGAAAGAAGGTTTCCACAAACCTTCAATGGGTCAGAGTCACAATCTCTGTGAAGTACAATAAAACAAGGTGTGCCTGGTTCTTCTGCTGGGGCTGAAGAAGCACTTGGTCTCAAGGTTGGTTTGAACAGCAAAGTTGGTGGTTCAAACTCACCAGCCACTCCTTAGAAACCCTATACAAAGCTCACTGTTGAGTTGGAACCAACTCAGTGGTGCTTAAACAACAACATGCCTGTAGTGTGCAGTTGGTCTACCAGAGGAGACAGACGTTGGGTTTGGGGAGCCTTCCAGAGAGTTTCAAGATCGGGGTTGCCAGAAAGGTCTTGACCCACCTGCAACTGGTTCCTTCTCTGCCTGTTTCAGCTCTATGGAAGGAGAGCCCCCTGGGAGGATCCTGCCAAGTGGGTGATGGACACTTATCCATGGACAGCCAGTCCCCAGCAGCACGAGTGGCCCCCACTGCTACAGCTGCGGCCTGAAGATGTCGGCTTTGACGGTTACTCCATGCCTCGAGAGGGCTCAGCCAGCAAGCCAGGACCCCCCAGCGACACAGAGGGAGACCCACTGGTGAGTTCTTGACTTACAGGAGGCAGCCCAGCATTCACTGGACAATCCCTGTGTATGGAGCATAAAGCAAGGCCTTCTGGACTACCACAGGATTAGGGACATTTTCACTAATCTTTTCTTCTGTGGTTTTGTTTTTTCACTTAAGCCTTTAACACCTCTGAGATTTATTCTGGTGGAAGATTAGGAATTTGTTGCTGTTGTTTTTTCTGAATGACTAACCTGTTGTCTCTATTCCATCCCTTGCCCCCTGACTTGCCCACTTTACCATGTTCTGTTCTGCTCCATTGCTCTCCCACACTGGTAACTAAGCAGAGGCAGGGAGATGTTTGAGGGCAGATGGGACTCTTGGTGGGCAAGGGGGTCTAAGTATGGGTCAGATGGCTAGTGAGATGTGCTAAGTCTTTACTGCTGTCTGGGCTGCTTATTAGGGATTCTGGTGCATGGTACACACTTGACACATAACCTAATGGTTGGCAGTTTGAACCCACCAGCCTCTCCACAGGAGAGAGATGGGTTTGTCCTACTCTGTCGTGTCGGGCCATTGCTTCAGAATAGCAGTGGGTTTGGTTTTGGGGTTTTACCGAAGTAGTCCACCACCCCATCAAGAAGTAGTCCACCACCCCATCAATTGTCTTCGAGTTGATGTCAACTTATTATAACCCCATAAGGGGCACCAACAGTAAGCACTCAGCTACTAACCAAAAGCTTGGCAGTTTGAATACACTCATAGTTGCCTCAAAAGAAAGCCTTGGTGATTTACTTCTGAAAGGACACAGCCGTTGAAAGCCCTATTGTGTGCAGTTCTATGGGGAAACGCATGGGGTCGCCATGCTGAAGCACTGAGCCCTTGGACTAGTGCCAGTCATGCTTTTATGGGAGATCGTACGTCACATCTGTGTAGTTCAGCCCACTGGATACCAGGCCTGCTGTCCCCTTCGTACTGCATTCCTTTATCTTTTATTCTGAAGAAACCCACTCAAACCCATTGCTGTTGAGTTGAATCCGACTCATAGCAACTTTCTAAGACAGAATAGAACTGCCCCATAGGGCTTCCAAGGGTGTAACCTCATGTGGCACTGTGGGATAAAGCACTGGACCGCAAGGTTGGTTTGAACTACAAGGTTGGTGGTTCAGAGTCACCAACCACTCCTTGGAAACCCTACACAGTGTTGCTATGAGTCAGAACCAACTTGATGGCACTTAATAACAATAACCTGTACCGTGTCTGTGTCCTGCAGAGCCACCAGACTTTCAATGATCAGCTAAGCACTTCAGACACAGTGCCACCAGGGCTCCCTTATTAATTCCAGGATCGTAAAAACATGATATACCTGCCACCTCTCCACCTGCCACTCCTGACAGACATCGCTAATCAATCATGGCACTCTCTACCAATCTAAAATGCATGCCTGGGAGGACCGGGCTAGTGTTTCATTCTGTTATGCACAGGGTCTCTGTGATTGGGAAATGATGACACCTAACAACAACAAAGTCATATTGTTGGAGTCCTGGTGTGGTGCTGTAGGATATGTACTGGTCTGCTTACCAAAAGGTGGGTGGTTCAAACCTACCAGCCTCTCCTCAGAAACCCTCTCTACAGGGTCACTGTGGGTCAGAACCACCTCAACGGCACTTAACAACAGCAGTCATATTGTTTAATTAAAACTAACAAATCCAAAGCCTTAGAAAATCAGGGAGGGAGCACATATACCATAAACACCCATGTTTAAGTGACCTTTATCATGTCTTAAATTTAGTTCTGAGATTCCTTGGCAACTAAGGCAAAAGTGAGAACAGAGTATGTTATTTGCATTAAGTAATGAAAGAAAATACTCAGTACATCATGCTGAGAGAAATAAGTCCATCACAAAAGGACAAATATTGTATGATAACACTTTTATGAAAAGTCTAGAATAGGTTTACACACAGAAAGCAACATTCTTTGATGGTTACCAGGGATGGGAGGGGGCTGGAGACAAGCTCACTTACTAGGTAGTAAAAACCAAACCAAAGCCCACTGAGCGGATTCTTACTCATAGCAACCCTGTATAGGTTTTCCTTATGGGAGCAGAAAGCCTTACCTTTTTTCCCACAGTGTGGCTGGTAGGTTTGAACTGCCAACCTTGTAGCTAGCAGTCCCAGGCTTACCCTACAGCGCCACCAGGGCTTCTTATTAGGCAATAGAATCATGTTAATTCTGGTGAAGGGAAACGCATACCCCAGTACTGGGACGTCAGCACATGACCGTGACCAAGGTAAATGAAGACACTGAGAGGCACACAAGTATAACAGCTATGTGCTATGCCATTGTGTACAATTCTGCAGCAACAGTAATGGTGTTAAGTGCCATCTGTCGGTTCTGACTCTTAGCCACCCTGTATAGGGTTTCCAAGGCTTTAGATGCTCGCAGGATCTGAAAGCCACATCTCTCTCCCACCGAGCGGTGTAGTTGTGGTCGTTTGTATCTACATATTTGTATGTGCACAGTTGTGGGAGCTTCTTAGACATACTCAGAAACCTCCTGGGACTGAGTTACTGGGCTTCAAGGCTAAGGCCATCTAGGTCTCGGGAGATATCTAGGTCAATTAATGTCAAAAAACATAGTTCATAAGGTTAATATTCTACATCCTATTTTGGCAAGTAGTGTCTGAGATCTTAAACGCTTGTGAACAGCAAAGTAAGACACAGCTATTGATCTCTTCCCATTGGGAGCAAAGGAGGGTTAATTAAGGAAACCAAAGACTCAGGGACGCAAACAGTCCACTCCACTGGACTAATGACCCACGGGAACCACCCCCAGGGTCACCCTGAACAATTACTCTGACCAGGCCACAGTAGAAGGTCCTGGTGAGAATGGGAGAAAATGTAGAACGAAATTCAAATTCAGAAAGTAAAAGCCAGACTTCCTGGACTGATGGAGACTGGGGGAACCCCACCCCCTAGACTGTCACCGTGAGGTAGCCTTGAATCTGGAACTGACACTACTTCTGCAGGTCCCCTTCCAGCCATATAGTATGAGGGGACTTCAAAAAGTCTGGGGAAATTTTTCATTATCTTTTAATTCTGTTTTTCCATGAACAATTTTGAAGTCCCCTCATAAGTTGACCTATAAAATAAATAACACTCACAAGGATTAAGCTCCTCAGAACAATCCGCTAACCCAGGCCAGAAGAAGCAACATGGACCCAGAAGCACATGGAGGAGGAGCAGCGGAGTAGGGGAGGCAGGGTGCAGGTGGGGAGAGTGCTGGCACATACAGGGACAGCACCCAATGTCAGGAACAAAATTCTTGTATAAATTAATATATAAATTACTAAATGGGAAACTCACTTACTGCATAAACTTTTCTCTGAAACACAATGCTCAAAAATAAAATAAACACTTGGGGACCTTCTTTTTGAAAGGATATTTATAAATACACATTTACACACACACACACATTTTGGGTTATAAATGATGTCATGGTTAGCCCATGTGTGCAGAGAGTAGAACTACCTTGTAGGGTTTTCAAGGCTGACCTTTCAGAAGCAGGTGACTAGGCCTGTGTTCCCAGGCATCTTGGCGTCAGTTTGTGTCTCCCAGGACTCAGTGACAGGTAACAACAACAATAACCTAGAAGTCACTCCTCCACTCCCAACTCCAAACAAATGATGACTAGGATGTGTTGTTGTTAAGTGCTGTCAAATTGGTTCTAACTCGTATCAACCGTGTATAGGGTTTCTGAGAAGTGGCTGGTGGATTTTAACTTCTGACCTTGAAGTTAGCAGTCCTGTGCATATTCTATAGTGTTATACCAGTACTAGGATGTAGACCAGAGAAAATTCAGGAACATCATCTCTAAACTCCTTAAGTCAGATGATAATGATAACAATAAAGATTTCAGCAGATTGATTCCATCGAGCACTCGGATGTGTCTGGGAATGCCTGCCCTGCTGTAAGGGCTTAATACACATTATGTCATTTTAGTTCCTACTTCAGGCCCATAATATGGGTGCTGTTGCTCTCCCCACTATGGCGATGAAGAAATGGCAGCTCAGATACTCTACGTCCTTTGTCCCCAATTCCTGAGTGACGGCAGAGGCCTGCCTGCCCTGAGACTATGCCAAGGCTCCTTTCCCTCTGCTTTCCACAGAGGCCTTGTCAGGCTCGCAAACACAATTGGCTACAGGCTGAGCTCTGGCCTGAGCCAGGAGAATGAGCGGCTTGCTCATCCAAAGGGCACTAATCTGTGGTTTCAGAAGCAAGGGTGCTTGACAGATATCTTCAAGACACTACGTGCCCCCCCCCCCAAATAAAAAAATATCTATAGAGAATTTTCTGTTTTTTAAATGCTTTATGTATATTTGTTGTTGTCAAGTGCCACCAAGTCGGTTCCCACTCATAGAGACTGTATAGGGTTTCTGAGGAGCAGCTGGTGAGTTTGAATCACTCACCCTGTGATTCAAATTGACCTTACAGCCCACACCAGGACTCCTTACATGTAGTAACTTAGTCTAAACCATAGCCTTACAAGGAATGTACTATTATCCATAATTGGCTCACAAAAGAATCTGAAGCGCAAGGAGATTAAGTTCCTGCCCCAAGTCACACAATTCATCTGTTGTGAGGCCAGGATAGGAACCTTGGAAAACTGGTCCAACACCACTCTTGTCCTCTGCCTCTTGTAGACTGTAATCCCAGGGCGAGTCTGGAGGAGGTCGCATTGAGCATCTAAGAGGCCAGGGCTCAGGGTTGATGAGGCTGATGTTCTATGATGCTCTCTGCTCCTTCTCCAGATGAACATGCTGATGCGGCTGCAGGAGGCTGCCAACTACTCCAGCCCCCAGAGCTACGACAGCGACTCTAACAGCAACAGTCACCATGACGACATCCTCGACTCCTCCTTGGAGTCCACTCTGTGACAGGGCCGGCCCACCTCCTTCTCTCCTCATCCCATCCTGAGGATGACTTCCTGAGCCAGCTGCAGCCACCAGGACCCCTCGTCCCTCTACCCCGGCCTGCACGCAGGTCCCCCAGTTCACCCACTCTGGACCGCTTCCTCCCAACACTGAGAACTGCACTACGTTTTGTTTAATTTCAGTGCTTCTGTTCTGCCTTGTTTTTTGTGACCTCCCTAAGACACTGACGATACATCTTGGAAAAGGATCATCACCATTGAAGGGAAACGAAAGAACCCACTAGAAGCTCTAAATCCAAACTGCATCCTCCCGTGAGCTGCCCAGAGACAGAGAGACTGCTGCAAAATTGGAAAAGCAGACCGCACCGCTTCTCCCGACATCAAAGACCCTTCAGACAGGGTCTAGCCATCAGCACCCCCACATCCACGCCGCCCAGCCCGCTACTGAGAGAACTGGTGCTATGGTCCCTCAATGAACTCCAGACCTACATTCCAGGGGAAACCTGAGGAAAAAAAGAAATTGTGCTCTCTTGGGTTTTTTTTATTATTATTACTAATTTTTTGTTTTATTCCTGGTGCTCTGGTTCTCCAAGAGGTATTTTGCCTGTTCCAACTCAACTACACCTTCTAGGTCCAGCCGCCTCCAAGTAATCCATGCGCGTGAGTGAAGGAATGAGAGCATGAATGTGCGGCTGTGGCTGTCAGAACTGTGTGGTTTGTTTCCTTATTACATACAAATGAATCAGGATGGTTTTTCTTTTCCTAAAACACTGTGTATAGTATTGTTCTACTTTGGAGAACCGATTACCCCTTTGAAAACAACATTGCATTTCTCTTTTACTGGCTCATTGATTTTGAAGATACTTCTCCCTTACCTCCTGGTCAGAACCAATCCTTTGGTGAAAGAAAGAACCGCAGGAGTTGAGTTTGGGTTTGGTCCTGCTCAACCTTGGTTTTTAGTTGTTCATCCTAACAGTTCTGCACGCTCACCTCCAACTGCTCGAGCTGGGGTCTGTGTGTCTCTGTAAGACACGGTGAGCCAAGACCCTTGCCTTTCCTCCTCGTCCCGGAGGCTCTGGATTGCACACCTATACCTCGAGCAGCCCAGCAGGTGGCGAGGCCACCTCACAAAAGACTTGCACTTTCTCGGGAACCAACACTACAAAACTCAGCCAGAGTGGGACCAGGCAGCCGAGCCTTCCCAGCAACCCCAGCCCCAGCCTCCATCAGGACAAGCCTTGCCTGACCTCTTCGGTGCTGACCTTCCCAAAGAGATGCCTTACTGGTTTTGTACTAACCGTGTTTGTTCACTTACATTGAGTGCCATGCCTGCCTGGGGGTTCGCTGTTTTTGTTTCCCCATCAAAGCAAACAGGGCTAAAAAGTCATCTTTTCATTAGGAGAACTCAAGTTGTTGCTGTGTGATTTTTCTCACTTCAGAGACTCAGTTGTTTGGGTGTGTGCCCATGGGAAAAAGGCAAAAAAAAACAACCCACAAAACATCCATTTTTGGTTCATATCAGTCTCCCACCAACAACCAGACTGGAATAATGATCTGTCTTAAGCAGGAAAAGGCAAACTTTCCTGCAAGTCTACATGGCGTTGCCGATGCATGCCCTGATAGAAACCCAGTTTGCCTTGTCTAAGACCTACTGGGATTTTTATTTTCTAGAGTGTGGTCAATCTTTGAGTTGTTTGTTTCTGTTTTATAAAGAGAATCTTTATTGGGCCCCAGTGAGGGTTTCTCTGTGAACGATCAGGGTTTTTAATTCCATGGTTTATATTACTATTTCGGAGGGTATGACTCTTAGCATTTTCTCTTATCTTCTCACCACAAGAGTGTGACCTGAAACTGCTCCCGTTACATTGGATGACTCCGTTTTCTTCCTCTTTGAAAGGAAAAGGGGAAAGAGTTCCACCCAGTGGTGACTGTGAAGCCTCTCCACTCTGTCCGGCTTGGATCTCAGTACACTCAGACTACTCAGCTTAGCTCTCGTTAGTCTACTGTGTGTATATGTTTGGTTCTGTTTTTTTTTTTTTTTAATAAAAAGTTTTAACCATATATATAGCCTGTGACCAGGGCCCAACTCTGAGCCTTTTGACAAGCCCAAAGAGTGGACCTTCTCAGTTTATCTCCCAGCAATGACCTTACACTCATACTGTGAATTTAGGAGGAGGTAAAACTGACTTCTCCTCACGGGCAGTTTTCCCAGTCACCTGGTGAGAAGACATAAGGAAAAAATGCCAAAAAGTTCAAACATAGAGCAAAATATTTGAAACAATTTCCTTTTTGATGTTACCCTCTCTTCCTCTTCTCCCACCTACCAGAGACTTCCCTCCCTGTGGCCCAGGCTCTCTGTACCGATTGGTGAGTGGTCATTTCAGATAGCGTTGCCCTTGTGGGAGTGGCAACTCGGCCTCCTCCCTCATGCTTCGGGAAGCAGGGTTGTCTAATATGCACATTTCTTACTTTGGTCATATTTTATTTTAGTGTTACCTTTGACAGAGTGACTTTGTGCTCATTTAGGGCTCTGTCCAAAATGCTTCCATTTTGCCTTTTTCTATAGTTAGGCTAAGTTTGAAATGTATGAAATTCTATGCAACATTTATGTTGAGTTACCAATGGAAGCCAAAAGTTTTCTTTCCCAATTGCCAAGAACTATACAGGCCATAAATGGGTGAGAATACCTTTTAATTTAAGGTGGGATGGTGGGTGGGGGTGGGAATGGGACAAAGAAGTGGACTCCTCTGGACCTTTGTTATACTTTGGGGACTTTTTTTTTTTTTTTTTTTTCTTTTTATTGTCGATACTTAAACTTCAGAGTTCTGTGCACTCAAATTTGTCTGATCGTGGCGAATCTACTTCAAAAGGAAAACCAATCCAACTTAGTGGATATTGAATGGAAGGTTTGCTGTTCTGATCTGGCTTTCTCCAGTGGGGCGGTTTATGAAATATGTTCTATAAGATGTACATTTTTTCATTGTAACATAGAAATTGTAAATAATTGATTAAAGTGCTGCATTTTGATGAATTTTTTCTAGCCATTTTTAAAGAGATAACTAGGAATTGAGTATTTTGTGTACGGTATGGTTCATCCGCCCTCCCTCCCCTCCTTTTTTCCCCTCCCTATTTAATTTTCATTTGTCATGAGGTTTTGAATTTGCCAATGGTCTATTGGAGATCATGCCCCACATCATAGAGAAGAAAGCTGATGATTGTACCAGTCTTAAATTATTCATGATTCAATAAAATTGATGCTTATTTATTCAGATTAGTGGTTTGGCTCATCTGTGCTGGAGTAAATCCTCACTGGAGTTCGCTTTCATGCCAAGAAGTTGCTCTTGTCTCAATGCAGCAAACGCTTTGAGGAAAAGTCTAAAACATTTGCAAATCCATGTGGGCTTCGACCATGTCATCAAGATCCCACCGCTCTGCTTTCTCATCTAAGTCATTGTTACTCATGTGGAACTTGTTAGAACTGCGCAATTTCAGGCTCCACTCAAATCTTATGAATCACCAGAGGTTGGGTGGAAATGCACAGTCCCATTCAGTAGGTCTGGGGTGGGGTCTGAAGTTCTTAGCTTCCCTCAAGCTCTGTGACTTTGCCAATGCTCTGGTCCCCAGACCACACTGAGCAGCAAGCAAGATTGGTTTCCAGTTGGCCCCCTATTTATGAGAAATATGTATGAGAAATATTTTTCTGAAGGTTTTGAGTACCTACTAAATGCCAAAAGCTTTCCCAAAAACTTAATATAATTCTCAATAAGGCCATAGAGAGGTAAATATTTTCTTATTCCCATTTCATAAGTGGGGGGATAAAACCAGGTTCCGAGAAAATGACTTGCTAAAGAGCTCTGGTACTATAGTGGTAACGAATCGGGCTGTGACCTGCAAAGTCAGCAGTTCAAAACTACACGCTGTTCCATGGGAGAAAGATGATGAGGCTTTCTGCTCCTGTAAAGATTTACAGCCTCGGAAACCCTGTACAGGGTCACTGTGAGTCAGAACTGACTCCATGGCACATGACAACAACAACAAAAATGGTCTATAAGATGTGAGAGAGTTGGTGTTTCAGCCTCATTTTTGATTGGCCTCCCCATTTCATGTTGCAGCCCACATCCAGAGCAGAGCCAAACAGAGGGAGATAACATCACATTTCACATTTATTTTAACAGCAACAACAAAAATTTTAAAGGCTTGGTTTGAAGGCAAACCCTGTGAGAGTTCACTGTGCAATTGATCCTACTCAGCTGGCCCAACTGTTAGTGATGTGGGTTGTCCAACTCACTGGGACACATACCAGTTGTGGAACTAGAGATTGCAGATGTTTTGTGTGACTTTTTTTTCATGCCTGACACTGCTTCCATCTACCCTTGGAAAAATGAAGGTAAGGTAGTACAATGGTTTGTCATCCAGATGTCTTGAAATTCCAAGTTTCCTTATCAAATATTCTGTCCCATTGCTAAACACTGTGTTCTGATTTTATCTAGGACATAACATAACATAAATGAAGGGCATCATGATGGGCCAGATGTCATCAGTTTGAATTTAATCACTGTGGCAAAATGAACAACATGAAATGTGTCACTAGGCACACAATCCAGTGACACAAATCACACAACATTGTGTTTCTACTACCACTAATTCCAGAACTTGATCACGTGAAACAAACTGTCTCCATTAAGAAACATCTCTCCAGTTCCTCTTACCCCCAGCCCGTGGTGACCACTAGCCTATTGTTTTCTATGCGTTTTTCTGTTCTAGATATTTCATATAAGTGGGATCATACCGTATTTGTCATTTTTGTGTCTTAATTTAGTGCATGTAGCATGTTTTCAAGAATTATACGTGCTGTACATGTACTAGATTTCAATCCTGTTTACATGAATAATATTCTATTGTATATATGTAGCACATGTTGTGTCTCCACCCATCTGTTGACAGACACTTGTGTTGTTTCCACCTTTTGGCTATATGAGTGATGCTGCAGTGAACACTGATGTG